CAGAAGTTGTTTGAATTTGACTTTATTCCTAAAAGAAATGTGATGCCTTCTTAATAAGGAAATAAACTCCAAGCATTGTCCTCCTGAGCTTATTTTCAGCAAGACAGTCATGCAAGTAAAACAGTTCCTTGAAAGGGTCAGTAGTGTGGTGGTTTTTGTTTTTTTTTTTAATCACCTCCTGGGGTGGGGGGGCAAAAGTAAAGCTGGTATCTGTGACCTTCAATATCTTTCTCTTGCTTTTCCTGCTAAGGTGCATTTGATAGGCCTAGAACTGAAGTTCTTTGCAGTTGTTGGCATACTGTGTGGAACAGCAGTTTCATGTTTCAATTACTTCCGTGTCATCTTTGGTGGAGGGGTTGGAAAGAATGGATCTACAATAGCAGTAAGTTGTTTTAACGTTCCGAATAGGGTTTGAATAATTTACATTCGTAATTTATTAGACTCCAGGTAATCAAAAGAGTTTTGTCTCTTTAAGCAGACAAGCATATGAATTTCACACATTAGAAATACTTATTTGTTAATCTGAGTATGTTGGATGGTCAAAGCAAAGACTTATTTAGCTGTCTTCTCTGTACCTGTTACTGGACTCCTTCTGTCCCAGGAAGCAGCAGTGAATTTTCTTTCAAAGTTGATCAGAGGTTATCATAAAGGATATTAATAGCAGCAGCACAGTGCAAATGGACTTTCCCTAAGATTTGACAGCTCTAATTGCTTTCATTCAGTGGGTGTTGTTATATATATATATATTATTATACTATATTACTATATATTGTATATATTAATATATTGGTTTTTATATTCTTATTATTGCATTATATTAATATATATTATTGTTATATTTCATATATTAATATATTGATTTTATATTATATTATTATTATTGCATTATATTAATATATATTGTTATTATATATAAAATGTTGGTCTTGCTGTGCGATTGAAGCCAAAGAAGAGTTTTCTCTCCCTTTGTATTTCAGGGAACAAGTGTTCTTTCACCAGGTGTCCACATTGGGCTACTTGTCACACTGGCCATTGTGATCTACAAAAAATCTACAATTCAGCTGTTTGAGAAACATCCGTGCCTGTATGTCCTGACATTTGGATTTGTGAATGCTAAAATCTCACAGAAGTTAGTGGTAAGGAATCTTCTCTCAGCCCTAAACATCAACCAGTTGTTGGCTTAACAGATGCATTCTGAAGCAGTAAGGACAGTGCAAGTTTTCCAGATTTGCTTTGCTACCACATTATGTTACTATCTATACACTGACACAGGCTTAGTCTCCTATAGAAATCAAATATGATATTGATGTGGGGGGGGGGCTTGCTTACAAGTTACTAGCCTTGCTGATTGCTCAAGTATATATGGATAGATGTAACTAAAAAGAGCACAGAAGGTCATGTGTTATATTTCCTATGTAATAGTAAAAAAAAAACCACCAGGACTTGATTCAAATAGCTGATATCACTGATTGAAGTGCTGTATATTGATTGAGCAACCTGCAGACAGGTTACTTAGCCCTTGACAAAGAAACTGTGAGAGAGCAGCAGGCTCTTGACCTGCCTGCTGATTGCTTTCCAGAGGGCCCTTCAAAGAGGCTGGTGCAAGGTAAGGACACTGTGCTTTCTCTTGAAGTGGAGGCTTTGTGGTAATTACAGTGATCTCACAGTAGTGCCTTTTGTGGTCGTTTTTTTTTTTTTTTTTTTTAAATAGGTGGCTCACATGACAAAAAGTGAAATCAGTCTTCAAGACACTGCATTTATTGGACCAGGACTTCTCTTTTTGGACCAGTACTTCAACAGTGTCATTGATGAATATGTTGTTCTATGGATAGCTCTGGTAAGCATTCTGCTTTATACTTTTGATGTGGCATATATAAAGGAATGGACTGAGAACTGTCTCCATCATTCCACTCTGCCATTTCAGATTTACTCAATTTCACCTGTCATTGTGGAAAGAGTGCCAGGATACTGCATAACCTTATGCTTTGGGCGCTAATTGGCTTTCTTTCCTCAGAAAAGAGATCTGAAAGTAAAATTATGGATCTCTTTTTTGTAATTCTGCTTTAATTCAGGTGGTTTGTTTAATGTTACTCTAACTACAAACTGTGCAGTGTATATCAAACTTCATAAAATTTGATATATTCTGATTAAAGCTGAATTTATAGCAGAGACAATTTTGTGAAATACGTTCTTAACCTGTTCTGTTTTGTTCTTTTTAAGTTCATATCCTTGTTTGATATGCTGAGATATGCCACTGGTGTATGCCTACAGATTGCTGCTCATCTTCATATACATGTCTTCCGAATTTCATCTCATCAAGCTCCTGAACAGGTTCAGAACCATACTGACTGATTAAATAGGTCAAGGAGAAAATAAACAGTTAGCAGAATGCTGAATGAAGCAGCCTCTCTGGGAAAACAGATTAAGCTTTTCAGTAAACTAGTTTCATGAGAAAACAGCTCATGCTATCCCAGAAATTACCAGTTGCTAGAGTTATTAAATACAAAGTCTTGCAGATTCTGTTTCAGTTTTAGACATTGGAGCTGTTACTTCATACCATAACTGTCACATTTGAAACTTTTGTTGTCTCCTGTTAAGTACTCCTAATTATGTACTTCTGGTCTCAGACTGTAAGCTGCAAACCAAGGTGCTACAAAACAGAATTATTTTTTCCTAAAGCAAGTGACTGATTTTCTAACATTAGTTTCTGAAGTATTCTACTGTGAAATGGTAGTCAGAGGTGGATACAGCACTGCATTGTCAAGACTGGTAAAAATGAGGGATCCTTGGGGTAAAAATAGTAATCTGCTTTGAAAGTTCTAAAGAACAAGATAGTGCACCAGTAAGATGAAGGAAATAGAGGAAAATTTTCTTGTTCTCTATTTCAAGATACTGTTGGCAGTGCCTTTAGGATTCATGCATTCTCTAGTATCTAGCTTACTGTTACTAAACACACTTGTAGCTTAGAGGCTGTTTTCTAATGGCAGTGTCTGCTTTTGTGATTATAATAAGGTTTGCCTCATTGTACCCATTATCTAGGCTGTGGGCATCTAGGTACTGGAGGACTGTAGCTTCACCTACCCTAATTTTTTTTTATCTATCTGTGAAACTGTGTAAGTTGAATGACTAAGTTCCTTGAACTTTAATGTCTGTTAGACCGTGACAATGCAACACACCCGAATATGACAATGCAACCTACCTGTGTGTAACTAATTCCCTCTGAACTGTGTTTGCCATTGTTTGTATTAATTTCTGTTGTAATCTAATTTATTTTGTTACTGTCACCATACTTTATCCAAACAAAACTATAAGGAACTAAAACCTATGTATAGTAAAACTCTACAAAATAGAAGGTCAGTCCTAATATCAGCCTTTTTTCTTTTCATTAGTGAAAAAATAAAGTAGCTTACTGTCTGTACTAGCAAATTCCAACTTGCACACAAAACCTAAATGCTCAAGCTCCTTTAAAGAGGTAATACATTAATATTATTTTTGTGAGAAGCTGCTGAATGTACACATTGTCACTTTTACTTGCTGCCATGTAGCTGAGCTTTAAAGTTCATAAAGACGTTACTGAATTGTACGATAAATAGTGCTATTATTTGTTGCAAAAATGTTACACTGCAGCTTCCTAGCTGCTGAATTCAGAAAGCCTGCCTGAGATATAGGACAGAAAATACTGTGCAACATGTTCCCGAGACCTCAAAAATGTAGTACAGTACTAGGTATAAATAGTTGTAAAGTTATGGTAGAGGTAAGGAAATGGTAGAAAACAAGTGCAGAAGTCATTGGAAAGCCAGAAACAAGAGGTAATGGCAACAAATCACCTAGTATAGAAGAGTGGAAGCAAAACCTGTTAACTGTATAGCATAGCATCATCTAATTATCCTTAAAGGGCAGAGACTGAACACCACAGCTAAAATTAGCATTGCTAGTTATCTGATACTCACCATGGATCCATACTACCTCATGCATCATCCTAGCAATGTAATTTCTGTGTTTGCTCTGTCCCTGAGTGCCATCTGACACAACACAAGACAGCTCCATACGGGCTACTTGCTCAATTTCAGTTGCAACCCACAAACTGAATTTTCTGTAAATTAGCTATCACTGATCTGTCTCCTGGCACTGATGAGCAGTCATCAGATATGTTGGTTCTGAACTAAAAATCCTAGTAAGCTGCAGATAAGAAGTTGTACGGTCTGGTTTTGAAATACATTGTTTTAAAGTAATCAGATCTGCTTGTGTGGGTGGTTTTTGTGTTATCTATTATATGAAACCTAACAACACGTATTTTAGGAACTACCTAATTTGTAAAAGTGGACGTTCAAGTGTAATGACTTTCTGTAAAAACAAACTACAATGCAAGCTAGGCTGGCTGTTTTAATTTATAATCACTGACTGTAATGAGATGCATAAATGAAAAATGCTTCATTCTTAGAACAGACCTCCCTGAACTGCTAATCATTTGAAACTGCAAAAATTAATATTCCATTTCAAGTAAGTGAGCTAGATTACCTCAGCAGAAGTGTGCAAAAATATATAACCCAAAACGCATGCAGTAATACTCAGTTATGCTTACTAGACCAGATGTCCTGTCAAGCTGTGGTACTACGCTCATTGTTCAATTAAAGAAATCTGCTTTTTGGACAAGTTACAGCAGTCGATACATCTCTTATTGGTAAAAAGAAATCACAATGGCCTGAACAAAAGGCCTCATGTTTCATTTACCATAACATACATCATTAAACCACCTTTCATAACCCATGAACTTTAACTACTGACAGGTCTGTAGGCTATATGTTGAAACTGTGAAAGTCTTGAAGCTGTGGCTTTTGTAAAAGGCTTCTATTTGCAGTGTACCCAGATTTGTTAAGTTTCTATACAAAACTTCAATTTTTTTCCCATTCATTTTACCTATTGTTTCAATTGAGCGTTATAAAAAGTGAAACAATCGAACAGTCCACTGCTAATGAAAGTGAATAATGGGCAGACCATAATTGGTTAGGGGTTTGTTCCCCTTAGAAACAGATTTACTAATATACCCTCTTACAACATTATCAGACACAAGATTAGAACAATCCACTAAAGTATTTAATAGGAGCTTTAAAACACTTAAATCTTAAGATAAAGTTCTTCATGGCTAACGCCTATACTTGTATCGTGTTACTTAGGTACAAGTTGTTTCTCCATTGAGCCGTCAGAATAACATGGACTGAAGAGACTTGCGAACGGTTGCCATCTCCTGCTGTTGCTGTTACAAGAAAAGGAGATTATTCTGAACAGATGCCATACCAATATGACTCCTTAATCTAATTAAATGATGTCTAACGACTCCCTTATAGAATGTTCTATTTTTGTATTTAACAAAGTTCTTTATAACTACTGATACTTACAGTGTCCATCATGATCTTCTTCTGTAGCATAGCCATTTCTTTGCGAAGTTCATTCTGTGCACCAGCTAGAAGAGTTTCATTGTTTTTCTCTAGCTCTTCCATGCTCTGAAGTTAAAGATAATCTTAATTCAGAATGCTCACTATCAGAAGTTCAATTTAAAAACAGACAATCCATTATTCAGATTACAGTTCGATTTTTATAGCAGTAGTGGTCACTGACAGTTGCAGATAAATTTTGTCATCAACTTGGAAAAGAAAATTGTATAGGACTCCAATCTACACCGCTGCTTAAACAACACATACCCTGTGACAAAAACAGTCCTTTCCACTCAGCATCTACCAGGTGTAAGCTACTATCCTGCATTTCAATAAAGATGACAATTCTACAAGTCTAGATCTATCTGTCAGGAAGTATGGGGTGGTACAGTTGAATATCGTGACAACATTGGAGACCTGAAGCAACAACTACAGAAAATGTTACGTTCCCTCCTCTTTGCACATTTCACTCTAAATAAACTGAGGTAAGGCTCACTAGTTACCTTCCCTTTTGCTCCTATAGTTTGCCTAACTGAATGCACATTGCTGCATTTTCTTTGACTTGTACTTAAAGTTAAGCATATTTGAGGCTTGACTTTTACCTTTTGATCTTCTCTGAGAAGAAAAACTGCAATTTTATTTTTTTTAACTTTGCTGAAGATGTTTAGACCTTTTAAAATGGTTATTGTTTATGAACATCTCTGTAACGTCCTATAATGTAAACTTCAACTATCAAAGTGTTCCTCTGTTTCGAATTTATTTGTCAAAGCTGCCTGACTTGAAAAAACATACCATAACAAGCAAATTTCAAAACAGGACAGTTAGGAAAGGTAGACAACTGCAAATGTTCAGCCTGCAGAAGAGGAGCTCTAAGGGAGCTCATCAGATTCTATATGTAACTGAGAAGGATGGAGAAAACAGAGCTAGGCTTTTTTCAGTGGCATCCAGAGACAGGACAGTAGGCCACAAGCTGACACACAAGAGGTTCCCTGTCAACATCAGGAGAGGCTTCTTCACTGATGGGGTGACTAAGCAATGAAACAGGTTGTCCAGAGGGGCTCTGGAGTCACCATCTTTAGAGATAATTGAAAGACTCTTAAGTAGTCTTGTTAGATCAGCTGCTGGTTAGACCAGATGACTTTCAGCAATTGTCTTTCTTATTAAAAGCCAAATTTGGAGTAATAGTACTCAGTCATTTTTTGTTTGCTGTCTAGCATATCAGCCATTTTTAAAAAAGGCTGATAATTATTTGTGTTTAAAATACAGCACGTTATGTAAGCAGTGTCCAAAAATTATACTTGTAGGGGCTGCTAGCAAATACAAAATCTATTCATAAATGAACAGGAAAGTTAAACTGGGATGAACAAGCCCAGCCAGTCCTCCCCTGCAAAGACAGGCTGAGGGAGCTGGGCTTGTTCAACCTATGGAAAAGAAGGCTGCAGGGTGACCTCATTGCAGTACCTAAAGGAGCCTACAAACAGGAGGGGAATCAACTCTTTGAAAGGGTAGACAACAGCAGGACAAGGGGAAATAGTTTTAATGATTTTGAGGGAGAGAAGATTTAGGTTGGATGTCAGGGGCAAGTTCTCTACTGAGTGGTGAGGTGCTGGAACAGGCTGCCCAGAGAGGCTGTGGATGCCCCGTCCCTGGAGGTGTTCAAGGCCAGGTTGGATGTGGCCCTGGGCAGCCTGGTCTGGTATTAAATGGAGAAGGTGGTGGCCCTGTGTGTGTGGCAGGGGGGTTGGAGATTCGTGATCCTTGAGGTCCCTTCCAACCCGGGCCATTCTGTGATTCTGCAATGAAACAGGACTGAGCAGAAATCATCCTGCAGGACCTATTTTCACCAAAAGCCACTATTTGTCAGATTCTTCAAGTTAGTTTCTGAGTAAATATTTATCTTTTGTATCAGCTTATAGGAAGGAAAACCCTGTCAAATCAGTGTTGGTTAGGGAGAAAAGAGGAAAAGGAAGCAGTAAGAAAAAAAAAAAAACAAACAATAATTGCATAATTTTAAAAGAATTACAAGTCATTTGTGGGCATTTTTCTTGCAGGAAGCAGCAATAGCTAGAAAGGTTCATGGCCAAAAAAAATCTGACATCAAATTCTCATGGAGAGTGCATGTGCCAGCAGTATTAGAAGTAGTCAATTACAGCATAAAATGTTAATTTTATGACTGACTTTCACTTATGGCTGACTTTCACTTTTTCAACACGTACAAAAAACCTGAGGGACAGTTGAGACAGAAAACCTGATAATTTGACTGTCTACATAAAGTTTTGGGTTAGAAGGCATGCTCTGAGGGTTAAATATTTGAAACAGGAAAGCCCATCAGACCCCTGCAAGAACACACTTTATAAAGCATTCATATACAGGCACCGTATGTGTGTGTATTTGGAAAGAACAACTCATTTTTAAATAAAGAGAACTAACTAGCATGAAGACTCATGCTAAGCTGTTGTCCCTCCTTAAGGAAACATTAAATTTCTGTATTACAGAAAGGATGGATTACTACAGCTTTCCTAATGATGTGATAAGGATCAGCTGTCTTCTAAAATGAAAACTTACTGTACCTTTAAGAATTGCTCATATAGTTGCTTAATAGTTTTCAGTCTCTGACTTTGAACTATTCTTGCCTGTTGAAAAACTTTTTGTTGCTGACGAAGCATATTCTGAAGCAGAAGCAAAAAGAAGAAAAAAAAATGCTGTTAGTTGACCCAAAGTACTCTGACATCAGCACTGGTTATCATTTATCAGAATGAAAAGATTCTACCTTCATTAACAATCTGGCTCATAGAATTGAAACACCTGCATGGAGAGTTATCCTTGTTTTTATTAATAAAAGGACTAAAGATTGGATTAAGCCCTGAGCTGTCACCTGCAGGCCTTTCCAAAGGGAAGTCTGTGACATCCTATGAGAACAGCTGGCCAACACAGTATCTGAAAGTATTCCAGGGAGATGTGCTGAACTTGCAAACATAGTGGGGGTACAAATTCACCAATAGCATGTGATTGTATTCCACTGTCTCCTTTCATCATGAAATTCTCATAGATTTATTGCATGGAGACATATTTTTAAGCAACGCTTGCTTAGATGCACTTTCCTGTACTCCTTTGTTCTTCCCATGCAAAGTCTGTGCATGCTCAGAATCAGCACATCAGTTTCTTCTCTGAAATCACCTCAGCTTTTCTCAGGCCATACATTGGCCTAGGGCTTCATTTACTCCCATTCATAAACTCGCAATAAAGTACTTCACTTTTTTCTTCACTTTGAAACATATTCTCAAATTCAAACATTTATTGAGCCACCAAAGGTGAATGAAATTCTGAAGAGTTATGTGTTTGTCTGAACTATGTACGGTATTTTCACATCTTTACATGTTTGGGTGACCTGGTTATATCAGTATTCCATATCATGACATCAAAGAATCATAGAATCTCTCAGTTTCGAAAAGACCTTAAAGATCATCAACCACAACCTAACCATACTACCCTAACAACCCTCCACTAAATCATGTCCCTGAGCACCACATCCAAACAGTTTTTAAACACATCCAGCTTTTAAACTCAACCACCTCCCTGTGGAGCCTATTCCAATGTTTAACAACCATTTCTGTATGGAAGTGTTTCCTGATATCCAATCTAAACTTACCCTGGCACAACTTGAGGCCATTTCCCTTTGTCCTGTCACCAGTGAGAAGAGACCAACCCTGTTCTTGTTGTAAGCACCTTTCATGTATTGGAAGAGAGCAATAAGGTCTCCCTTCAGCCTCCTTTTCCACAGACTAAACAATCCCAGTTTCTTCAGCCCCCCCTCATAAGGCATATTCTCCAAGCCCTTCACAAGCCTTGTGAAGCCCCACGTGTCAGGCTGTTGGGTGTAGAGGCACAGTGCACTGTACAGTTGCATTTCCTAGTCTCATGCCCTAGCAGTCTCACTTGAGTTCTGATTCTCCAAGAGGAAGATATGCTATACTTTGCAAGGGCCTCCACATGATCTACAATTCTGGGTGATAGAGATGACATGGCTTCCTGGTTCAGGCACGGTCAAAGCCTTCCTTTCTCTCCCATTTGAGAGATTAATTGTAACTCTCCTTATCATCACCTTACATTCCTTTACCATATGTAGTAAATACGTTCTCTCTCCTTATCTTAATTGGGTCATTTTTCTTTCCTTCTCCCCAAAAGGGGTGCCCCTGTCCTGTTGCACTTGAAAATGTGACACTGGGGGTCTCCCTGTGAATAATACACTGTGAAACACATCCCATGTTGGAAACGCACCGCTAGTTTTTCTTCCTGTTCCTCTGCTTTCTGCACATCTACATCCCACTGCTGAAACACAGTCAGGAACTGCTGGGAGAACTCATGATTGAGCTTGTGCCTACAAGCAGATGTTGGCTGTAAGTACTACAAACACTCCGAAGGATGACAAGGAAAGATAAAGGTTCTACATGTACAAATAGGAGCTGGTGTGAATTAAAAAAAAAAAAAAAAAAAAAAAAGGCTACTTTCAATCTGTCCCTAACTGAACATCATGCTTTAGAAAAATAAAAAAGGAACACTCACACATAAGTACTTATATACATATAGTGACACAGCACTGATAGATGAAACAGATTAAAAACAAACAACAAAATTTTCTCAGCAGAATTGTCTCAGCATTTTACAGAATTACTGTTTTAACCAAATTACAGATTTTGGCATCGACAAGTTTATAATGAAAAGAAAATCAGCCCATTCTTTAGTTCATGATGCTGTAGTCTCTCTATGTAAACAACATTTGGTTAATACAAGTTTCAAATATATAAAACCAAAAAGACAGCTGCAAGTCCTGCACTTTTTCCATCTCATTTTTTACGATTTGCTCTGCTTATTGTATCAGACATCACAGGTCTCAAAACCAAGGGTAAATGTTACCTCTGCTCCTGCTGTGTCTTCCAAACATGTTCAATCTTCTGGTTACTGGTTTTGAGTGAGGCTTTTGTATACATTTCTAATCTTTTCCTCTTGGCTAAGAGAGCTTTGTTAATGTCAGCTAGAATCAAAGAGTAGTTAGAAGTTAAGCATACCTTAAGCATACCTAGAAGTTAAGCATACTTGGACACCAGAGCATTTTATTAAAGATGCTGATGAATTTATGCTTTGGAAAAGCAAGCAAGGCATGTTCTAACAGAAAGAAGCTCACATGATCTGGGCTCATGTCTGCTAAATTACGAATTTTCTCCACCTGCTGCTGGCACAGGTATGAGAGCTGCTTCTTTATTCCCCCCATAGAGCCTACCTTACACCAGGCATCTGGAGCAGCAACTGGACATCACCCCTTCTCCTCATTTATTTCACTACACAATTAGCTTAACACTTCCAGGCCTCCCACTAATTCAGCTAGGCCAATGCTTCTTAGATTTTTCTCAAGAAAGAACACTGGCTCAAATGTTTGAAGAGTAATATCCGAGCAAATTGCCTAGATTTCAGAAATAAGAGGTTGTGTGGGATTACTGCCATTGTCAACATATTGAATGAATGAATGTCAAACTACTACTTATACATCAGAAAGACTCCAGTATTTTTAAAGAAGTATTCAGGTTAATCTAAGTTAATATGTTCATTTCATTTTAATTTACATTTGGAGATCTAAGGAACAAGTCACAGCTAGCTTAAGGTTGGTGTTTAAAGCAATTGCTTTTCCTTCCTACTGTAGCCTTTGGAAAACATCTCTCTAATTTGCTGAGGCATCTGCCCCTGCTACTGCCAACCCTATTACTCTTAATCAGTAATCAATCCTCTCTTTGATTCATTATTTTCCTTCCATCTTTTGAGTCCTGATTAAAAAGCAATCCCAGCTTTTTAATATTAAACACTGAAATCCCTCTCTTGTCTATACTGCTAGATCCAAAATAGCATACTAACATGTATATTAACTGCAAAAAAAAAAAAAAAAGTTAATTCCTTAATTAAAGAATTCTTCAAACTCTTTCACCTTGAGATTTGCATGCAAACAACAACTGTAGTTAGTTTTTATCTCATACATGAAACTATCAACCAGATACTAAGTAATGCCAGCATTACAATGTTCTCCCTTTTTGATGCTTTTTTAGACAATTTGTATGAATGAATTCATTGCGAGTGCAATGAACTTTTTCTCTAAGCTGCCAGTTGTCTGGAATTCAGTTCATCATTCTGAATGTTAAGTAAAGCCATCTAGGATTTCACTTGATTATGACTTAATTAAATCAACATAGGCAACACAAATCCCTCCACATTACATGGCCAATATTAAATACCCTCATTCTTTGGCTATGCTAGAAACTTCTTACTCTCCTTTCTGACTGCTGAAATTCTCATTTCTACAGGTTCCCAGATTCTCTAGACTTCTGCAGATGCAGTACAGACTGCTACCTTTCTAGCTCCATTTTATCACAGCTACAATTTACAGTCATTCCTTATCTTGAATTTGAGTTACTTTTTCCATTTAGCTGCTTTAGATGCCTTTCATTTCCTCACTCCAGTCTTGCAATCACTACTCTTACAACAAAAAATTGAATAAGGGCAATGGATTTTTAATTCACACTGTACATTCTCTGTGATATAATCACTGCCTCTCAACCACTCCTTAAAGTGGGAATTGATCATCAAAAGTACTCATGCATCTTTGCCTTCTTCCTTTATAACAGAGTCCACACAATACTTTTCTCTCTCCTTATATACAGTTATGCCCTTCTCTTCTATCCATCTGCTCCAGACATATCACATATTAGTTCTCATCTGCAAACTGGCTGTAGGCAGTGCTACAAACACCAGCCATTTTATTCAAATCTCATAAGTTATCTTGCAGAAATGAATTATTGCCAATTCTGTAACTTAAACATTACTTTTCAATTTGTTAGAACATGAGTGTACTTACCTCCAAATCTTTCCAGCATATTCTGTACTTCACCCCTAAAAAACAGTTTATGATTTTTGAGTATTTCTGGACTTTTGATTAAGACCTGATGTAAATGCCTTAAACTAATTTTATCGCAAGCCTGTTACTTGTAAGCAGTGATAGAGTTGTTACTGCTCCACAAGATATAAATAAAACTTACTCCTCCTTCCCCTCCTGCAAAAAAATCTTTTAGAATTAGTTTCTTGATGAAAAGGTTACTACAATCTATCAGCTTCTCAATAAAGAGGCATTGGAGGCATTCAAGGCCAGGCTGGATGTGGCTCTGGGCAGCCTGGTCTGGTGGTTGGCAACCCTGCACATAGCAGAAGGGTTGAAACTAGGTGATCATTGGGGCCCTTTTCAATCCAGGCCATTTTATGATTCTTTGATTCTATGATTAGGCATTTAAAGGGTCCTGAGTGAAAGAGAATGGTAAATAAAGCTAATCATTCCCCCATCCCCAAAGAAAAAGGTATGCAGAGCATCAAAGAACAGAGAACAACTTCATTAAAGTTAATGTAACTGAAATTTAAAAAAAAAAAACACAACATAACCATCCAAGATAAATGATTGCAGGGTTGTTTTTATAGCACTTAAGATGGTATCAGCAGTGTGTAAAGCACTGGTATGACAGCTGACAAAACAGTTACTGTGTTTATGTATTTATGTCTCACTTTTTCCACAGGATACCACTGTTTTTTGGGGAGGAAGAAAAAAAAAATTCAACTCAACGGCCTTAATCTCAAGAAGAGCTTCTGCAACACATACTTTTGCATTGTAGTTATTTAGCCAATACATTTTCACTTTCATTCCATTTATCAAAAATATTTTTCATGTATTTTTTAGATCATTTTAAATATTGTTAATATCTTCAAGCAACTGAGATCAGAGGGGGAAAATATAATAAAGAATTTTTTTAAAAAAATTCACCATTAAAAAAATTTAAGGACTTAATTTTTTTTTTTAAGAAGCATATTCTAAACCTTACCCCATATCATCTGGAACCACATGAGTAGTCACCATAGGTCTTTTCTTGCCATGCTTGTCCATTACTGGTGTTTCACCTTAATGTAAATTTCAAAAAGATTTACAAAGACACTTTATATTTTGTGGGGCCTTTTGAATTCCTGGAAGTGTAATTACTTTTCACTAAAATCACTTCTTTGAACATCTATCCCATCCCTTACACATCCAGCTCCTAACACTTGACTGCAAAGAACTGACAGATAGCGATGGACCCCACATGCCTGGATTTGAGCTGGCACTGCCCTGAGTTCCTCAGTGCTGGTCTCCACTAATTGGAGTTCCTCAGTCTACAGCTACACAATTACCTTGAGCTTCACAATGTAACAATTATCAGAAAGCTAAAATTGATCTTAAAAATCATGGAAAAAAAGACTTACAAGCATTTCATTTTACTCTAACTACTGAAACTGCGTACTCTGACTTTTAAGGAAGCAAAACCACAGAGAGATATATTTACATTCTCTCAAAATAGATTAATTAATTGGCTGTTAGATTTCTGTTACCAAAGGTGGGGGAAAAGATCAAGAAAGATAATAACTAATTCAAGACAAAAACAGAATTGTGAAAGAATACCTAGAAATATGGATTGTTTTGAAAGAGTGAGCATTAGTGCACACAGCCATACAAGCTATCCTGAAAACAAGACATCTATAAATGTTGTAAGGCTGTTCAGCTATTCTTAGAGAAATTACGTTGGCAAACTAAACAAAAACTGAAAAAGATTCTTCCCAATTCCATACCTACTTCCCAATTTTGCAAACCCCCTCATTCAGGAGGTTGTAGAAATGTACATTCTGATCCACACACCAGCTAATACAAACTGGGTGGCCACTGCTATTTGAAGCTTAGGACATACTGACCAGACTTGTCAGATATTTCACAGAAAGCAGCACAGCAAACTTCACAGGGAACACTCAAGATGCTAGTTTCATTATTTGCGCTTACATTTCACTGTCTTATAGAAATGAAGAAAAGGATTTAGTTCAGACAGATGGGGGGGAGGGGGGAGTGGAAAGGAAGAGAGACAAAACCCAGAGATGACTGCTGAAAGACAAAATCCAGAAGTTACATCAAACTTTGCCAAAAAATATCACTTGAAAAATGAGAATTGTATTTTAAATCCACTCTTTGCTACAATCCCTCATACTTTAAATGAGAATCCCTTGGCTGACTTTCATTCATTTTTTCTCAGCCGTCTGTACCTCTTGCTTTTTTTCTGTTGAGATTCTTCCCAAAGTACTTTGTGAACGTGAGACCCCAGCTCTGCCTTATATCCAATTCTGCTCTCTGTCCAAGCAAGCAGAGCTTTCCTTCGCTGTCCTGACCCTACAGCATTATATGCAGCCTAGCAATAGTATCTAGCTTTAATAAAGACATTAACAATAAGTTCAAGACACAGCAGGGCACTAAGCTCTATAGTGTTCTCTTACTAATCCAAACCACACACCAGGAAACTCTCACAAGCATTAGGAAGCATGCTTGTTCACTGACATATAATATCTTCCTATCTGCTCAGAGTTGGAAACACTACAAACCTTGTTTAAGAAAAAAAAAAAATATCATAATAATCAGCAGACAAGCACCTTCTCCAATATCTTCCTCTGATCCGCTCAGGTCTTTCCTTTCCTCCTGAAAGTCATAGGCAGATCTGGCTTGCTCTTCCTGTGCTGCTTTAGCAGCTTTTCCTGAATGCTTTCTTCCTGATGGTGCCATAACGAAATTTTCTTCCTATTGAGGCACAGTATTGAAACATAACTTTTCCCACAGTATTTTGAAGATAAATGTGTTTTTGTGTTTACCTTGAGCTGTTACATATTCCCCTGTAACCTGTAAGGATATCCAAGTAGTCACACAGGATTAACCTTGACACTGTTTTTTTAAGAGCAAGGTAAAAAATAAGCAAAAATAGCAATGAAAACAGGATCATATTTCTTATGCTGAAAAGCAAGGAATGCTCTGAACAGACTGCTCATAATGTCCCTGCCTGGTAAGATTCATTTTTTTCACATTTGATACCACCTTCCCAAAGAGCTGTGCTGATATTCTATCCTACAAAATACAGATATCATAAATGCTCAAGAAAAATTTATGACTCTACAGCCTTTCCTCACTGAGCAGAAAAATAAATTTTAACGTTGGTCAACGTTCACTGTCTGAATTATTTGTTTTTAGCCATTGCGTCTCTTTGTAAGTTTCTGATGCAGCTTCCATATTTGGGTTTTTACACATACACTTCTTTTAGTAACACTCATTTTTATATATTCCATGTGTTATTTTAGGAAGTAAAATGTCTACTTAGAAGGAAAGAAAAGTATATTTGTTGCCATTAAATGCAAGAAGGAAAAAATAAGATGTTTTCCTTAGGACTTCAATATCTGAAATCATATACAAATGCAGCAGAAAATAGCAGGATACAGTGACCTCACTGAAATATTTTTCTTTTAGCTTTATCTCATAGCAAAAGGCATGAAGCATTTCTAATTCAGTGTTACGGGACATATAATTTTAAATAACCTACCAAAAACAGCACAGGATTACATAGTAGATGGAAACAATAGAGAAAACAAACAAAAAAACAAGCACGAAGTACTTGGTCTTCTAAGCTTTAGCAATGAAGAAATTTCTTTCTCAGTGCAGCTCAACACAACAACAGATTTTTCAAAGGCCATGGAAATATAGTTCTGAACATTAAGTTTACACAAAACTGAGAACTCCAGTAAAGATCTTCAGAATTTCCAGGGCAAGGAGATCCTCCAACAGCAACAGCTGTAGTGCACACCTGAATTCCATACTTATATTTTGAACTAGCTGCTCATAGCTATAAAAACTTTTTTTTTTAAGCCACATATCCCATATATACAGAAAACAATCACATTAAGCTGTTAAGTGAAAAACATTTTCTGACATCACAGCTTCTTCAGTGGTTGATGCTTCGCTATACAGCATGAACCCAGGATGTTTAGAACTTAAAATTCTCTTGAAATTAAAATTTCACCTTTTGCTGCTAATTGGAAGATCACAAATTCTTGTGTTGTAATTATCCTCAAGTGAGAGAAAACTTAGGGGCACTGCACAACTTCCAAGCTTCAATGACTTCAGCAGCTGCTGAAAACATGATGGAAGCAGGGCAGCAGCTTACACGCATCTCACACCGCACACAGACATCTTCCTTTGTACTAAAACACCAGCCTACAGAGCACTATATGCAATAAAACAATGTTGCAGCCCCATATAATCATGATAAAGCTCTTTGCTTTAGTAGATTCCAACATTCCCAAGCCACAGATGTGTATTTAATGACGACTTTTCAGAGGCACTCACCTCCTTATTTCTCTCAGCCTGCAAAGATCTGAAATAAAGCAGTATCTGTGAGTCCCACACGTGCGGGACTGCTTCCCATTGACAGCCTCACAGCTGACGAGGTGCCCTGCCCCACCCAGCCACCCTTCAGCCTCGTCGCTCCGCCTGCTGACGGCCCCCTCCACGCTCTCAGTGCCTACCTTGCCTACCTCCGACTCACTCACTCCCCACAGCAGGCGGTAACGAGCCTGCCCTGCCTCGCCCCGCAGCCCTCCCTGGCCTTGCCTGCCTGCTACTGAGCGCGGTCCTCCCGCTACCCCGATAGCCAGAAAAAAGCGGGAAAGACGGCAGGCACCGCAAGAGCGCATGCGCACGCTCGCAGCGGGTGGGGGCGCGCTCGCGTTTGTACCTCAGTTGCCATTGCCCGCCATTGGTTGTTAGCAGTGGCTTCCACTGTTTCTGCACGTTCCAGCGTATTAAGTAGCGGTAGCACAAAATATAACCCTAAATTAAAAGCGCATTTTACAGCGTCGGGAAGTTTGACTGAACTTTGAGTACCCATTCATGCATCAAATTAATATTAAAATTATTACTGTTGGAAAGTTTTAAGAAAATAAGTACCACAAGGATTTATAAGCATTAATGGCTATTTTATCAAAATGAGAGAGTTTCATTGTACTCCAAAACAGAAACAGACAAACCTTTCATCACATTTTAGTTGTTGATTTCAAAGCAAACCAAGTATTTTACAGTACATATGCACATACATTTTGTACACCCAATTACAAAAAAAAAAAAAAAAAAAAGAAAAAAAGAAGCATTCTTTGAATACTGCTTGTACAATGAAGCTACACCACCAGAAAGTTCTGTCTGAAAAGTATCTTTTTCCCCCCACATAAAATCATACCAGTCTGATGTCTCAAACAAATACAGGGCTAAGTCCTGTGAAACTTAGAAAAAAAAAAACAACCACAAAGCTTCATTTGTCAGTATAAATATTGTTTTATGAAGTGAAACATTGCTCCCACACATTGCTACATTAAAGCAGTTCATTACCCATTCAGATAGAGAGGCACTTTTGTTGTCATATTTACAGTGCTTTTAAAACAATATAACTTAATCACTTTCACTTGATTACAACCCTCTCTTTGTAATCAAGATACGACATCCACTGTATTCTTTGGAATATAATACACCAGATAAAATGTAAAGTAATTTTAAAATAATCACTACCTGTTCTGTTACCATGTATTCTTATTAGCATGCATTTCTTCAAAATCCCAATTAAATACTACAAACTGGGCGGAGTGAATTGTCACTGTGCTTTAAGGAATGCCAATGGCATTAAATGTAGACTAAGGGTAAATGACAAATTAAGTAATTCCCATAGGGCTGGAGGAAAAAAAAAAGAAAGCAGTGACAGAATTCTGCAGAAATCTTTCGGAATGCAAGATCAAGGATCTGTTAAGCTCATCCCAAACAACTCTGCCTTCCAACATTATATGTAGTTGGCAACATCCTCTGCAATAAATGCAGCTACATTTCTTTAGGTAACCCTTTTTATAAAAAAGGATAGCATGGCCATGAACCAACATTTGTAAAGTAAGATCACTTGAAATTTGCCTATATACAGGCTCCTGCCATTTTTGTTTAGCTTTCTGTCACAGTTCAGCAGCTTGTATATCATAGAGTACTGCAGAGATTATAGATGTACATGCATGATTTTTTTTCTTCATATCAACTCGGTTAAATATCAAACCATAAAAGACACTTATGCAAGAGAGATTTTAAATGCTTATCACATCTTGAGGTAGTCTGATCTCCAAAATAAAGCTCTTCTACACTTTGATTCGTTCATGACCATCTTCCTTTTGGATCCTCCTTCTTGGAAAAATCTTTCGTTTAAGTGCGATTAGCTGAGAAGAAGAAAATACAGTATTTAGTTCCCTTCTAGGACAGAGGTACACAGCTGGTTAGTCTTTCATCCTAGAAGCCATAGAATCTTTGTCATCCATGGTAATTCAGTCAATACTCTTTTTTTTTTTTTCCACTGCACAGGAAGAAAGAGTTATTTACTCAAATTCATCTGTTACACATACATATTTTCTCAATAATCAGAATACAAGCAGAAAGTGAAAAACACAGTATACGTATATTCTGATTATTTGAAGTTAATTTACATAAGCAGGCTACATTGAGTTTCTAGAAGATGAACACAATGCTGGTAGTATTTACATACCTAGCTGTCCTACTGAGTTGAATACTCCCTTCCAAAATAAAGTTACTAACGCAGGGTGAGTTTTCAATGTATACAGAAGGCTGAAAATTAAGGGAAAGATTCATGCAAAAGTTACAAGTGGAGGGAAAAAAAATTCAAAAGCCAACCTTTCAAGAATTACACCCTCTTCATCAGACCACGGAAAGGGTTACTTAAGGCCCCAACCTGCAAAGAATTACCCATGTGATTTGTTCCATTGTCTCCCTCTTTGTATTGCAGGGTTAATATGTTCAAGAAAACCATTTTGTGCTTGCAGAATGGGAGGTTTTTTTTTTTCTTTTTGTGTCTGATTCAAAGTATGAGATTGGATTAGTCTCCTAAAATGCCTTAAGATCTTCCCAGGACTAGGGTATTGCTATTACTCAAGTTTTCTTCTTAGTAACTTTGCACTACAAACAATATGTCTTAATAGACCAAGACTTTCAGAAACAATTACTGATTTTGAATTCCCAAATTTAGCACATTCTGACGTACTTGACTGTCACAAGACGCCTGAAAAGGGAACACAATTCTCCTTCCCCCCCAGGTGTAGTCATACTTACTCTAAGAATGTCAACATGATAGCTTAAAAGTTGAAGCAACCTAATCAACATTTGCATATCATTTTACTAATAAAAATTCTAGCTATTCTATTAAAAAATCCATCTTAAAGTACCCTGAAGGTACAAAAAAACGTATTAAACGTTATAGTTTTGATAAGATATAATTTTTTTACCTGTTCAGCAAAAAATGAGATGACTGTAAATACTATAAGTGTTACTAGAACACAGTGGGTCCAGAATTTCAGCTTGTCTCTATATGCCCTCCTGCAGAAAGATGGAAACAGAGTTTCATGTATTATAAATCAGATATAAACTTCAAAGGGTTACCATGAAACAGGAAAAGAAAATAAAATGTTTTTGTAATAACAGAAGTTAATGCGTAAATAAGAAGCAAAATGCTTATTTACTGCTCATAACTCAAGTTCTGCATATTTCTTTTCTTTCCTTGCTTTCAACTTAATATTGAAACTACTGTTAATCTTCTTTAGTTACATTGGTTCCTAAACCAAAAATGATTACCATACATGATAAAGGTAGAAAACTTATTTTTCAGATAAGATTTCTACCAGCACTTCAACATGCTTTCCACCATCCCAGCAGAAATTTGTTTCAACCACAAAAAAGTAATAAGCTGCCTTCCGAAGCTAAAAGTCCTGGTGGTGGTCCTCAAAAACAGAGCCAAGAATACTTCTAATACTCCAGCCAAAGTTTATACAGCTAACTGCAGAATTCAGTTTACCCTCCACTCCCTCTGCTACAACAGGACTTGTAGCACTACAGTCCACACCCAATTCTTTTCACCTACAGTACTTCTCATACTCTAATATTTTCTCCTTCCTCACAGGGAGATACTTCTCATAACTCGTTGATCAGCAACAAAATTATTTTACTACTCTTCTTGTTTCATTTTTAATCACTATACCTGATGACCTTTTGTTTATATTCCCAAATCAACTTACTCAATTTCTAAATTAAATATCGTTTGTAACATGGCACAGGGAAAGCACATTAAAATTTCACACATTAAATAAAAATATGAAAGATGCACGAGTATCTTCTCTGATGATCATTAAACATCTTTAAATTATTTCTAACATCTTGAAAAAGTTACTTAGCAATAATAGCAGAATTTATATTTCGTTTTTGCCATACACATTCTAAACAGTTCTGGCTTTTTTACATTTAAAAAATCCACAATTCTTGATTTTTTTAATTAAAAGAAAACAACTTTGTTTTAAATGACTTGTGAACAATCAGTGAAGCATTAACAACTCAGAACAAGAAAATCCAAATCCTGCAAATCTGAAGTTTTAATCCATTTAAATATGTTTTCATGTCATCCTCACTGTTAATTCCTTCACAACAACACTGGGATAAAAAAGGGCTTGTACCAATATGCTCTATAATCATATACTAGTACACTGCAATAACCTGAAGCGAATCTGTCTAACATACCATTCCTGGAGTTCATGCATATGAAGGAAACGATTCCGATATTCTCTTGGCAGTTCAAATTGGGAAGGAATAGGAAACATTGATTCATAAAAATCCCTAAGCACCGCTTTCACTGTCTGAGCATCCTTATGATTGTGATCAATGTTATCATTTAAGCAAACAAATTTTCTAGAAAAGAAAAATGCTTTGTTAGACTATTTCCTTTGATAATATGGCAAAGATATTGGCAAGACAAGAACATAAACCTTTAAAACCAAATTGATATATTTGATACTGATAACTACCTTATTGCTGCATTATTTTAAATTAACTTGATTGCAATTCAGAGTACATCGAGGCTAACAGTGAGTCAGAAACTGAGGAGTCCATTGATGAGCTAAAGCTCTCTTCTATTTACATTAATGTTGCCATCTAATGGGCACTAGTGTGCATCATCTCAAAGCCTAACACTAGATGTAGACAGCAGATTAGAAGGATTATTATCTCGATAATTCTTTCACAGTTTTAATATAGAGTTACCATGAGTTAGTTATCTTAAATAATAAATTTTACATCTATTATAGGATGTAAATATACTAAGTTATTAATATTTTACCATATATGCTACATTCTTCAGAGAAGCTCAACGAAAAAAAATTAGAAGACGTATAGGGAAAGGCAAAGTTTGGTCCTCAGGCTTTCAGTTTTTGAGAAAACTATAAAAATGACTGTAACATGACCTGAATCAGAGAACCCAAACTTAATTTGTATAATCAGCCAAAATACAAACAATAGGAATAGTATTCATGTGGAAATCACTATGACCAAATAAACATGCTCCCAATAAAATATCTTGCAGAGAGTTATTTCTCATAGAAGAAACACCCAAGCATCTACATTACTGAAAACTGCTGAAGTTAAAGCAGCAGCTAGTTTGCTAGGCTGCTATGTGCCCTTGGCAATTCTGACCTGGTATACTTGATGACAAAAATTCCCCTTTCCCCATATGGGCAAGGTTATGTGCTTTATTTATATTGTGAGACACAAGACCTTACATTTTTCCCAGAGGGTAAAATTGTATCTGATGACTTTGCAATTGCTAATCTTTGTGAAGAAGTGGTTCTGGTCAGCTGCATTCTCTATAGCACAGTGTGCTCTTTTGAAGAGCAGAGTAAAGTTCAGGCTTGCTATGTGAAGCTGGATGTAAGGAAAACTCTAGAGCACATTGATTTGCCTACTGAGGACATTACTGCTTTTCCTCAGACTGTAATGAATACAGCATAATTGGTAATCCTGCTCTAGACAATTTCATGCAATGAACTGAGTTGCCACATCTGAGAAAAGCAAAATATGCCTTCCCTTTTGAAGCTTAGCTGGCTATGGTGATCCTATGCAGAGTATCTGGTTATGGCAATCAGATGTCTACTGTATCTGAGGATTTACCCCAGACTATCCCAGGCAGGCTCCCTCAGGCTGGCAGTTCATTAGACCCAGGAATGCAGAAGTTGCACTGTGAAAATCAGCTCACAGATTTGAGCATCTAAATGCTTTATCACTACGTTGTAGAGAAACAAAGGACTAACTTCCTGCTATGGATCACTTCTCACTAAATATTAAAAAAATGTTTAAGACCTCTTGCTATGTTGTAACAGAGCATGAAAGCACAGTAGTTATACAAAACAGATTTTACAATAAAAAAAACTTCTTTTTTTAATATTGCTACGTAAAACAGATCAAAATATTTTTTCCCGTAACAAAAATTTTCTGCAATATGAATTGTGTAAACTCCAGAATGGCAAAAACAAAAGCCTCAAAAATAGTTGAAGTATTTCTATATGTTCAATGTTTTAGATATATAATAACAGAAATTAAATAGATGACCCGTAGTGTACAAATTACAAAACAGGATACCTGGGATTTTTTCGTATGTCATCCAGCTGACCAACTACATGAGACACGTTTGTGCGAATCATTTTGAAGGCAATTTCCTCTTCTCCCATGATTTCAAACCTTATTAAAATATTTATGCATTATTTAAAACAGCTTGAAGTCAGATTCAATAAATACTAATAGTCTTACAACTTACTTCTAATCAAACTGTCCAATCTTCATTAGAATGTGACATTTGATTTCCTTCCGCTCTCTTACAGAGCACACAACACAGCTTGAGGTACTATAAATGATCAGATAACAATGCCCAAATGCTGCCCTAAGTGACACCTGTAACCTTCTTAATTCTACAGATTTACTTGACATTGTCACTGCTCCTGGGGCAAATGCATGCTTCAGAAGAGCCCCAGCACTCTTCCCATCCAACCTGTTGGTAAGGCATTGGACAAGAGAGGTCTACAAGCTCTATGCCAGCAAACTGGTTTTCAGGTTTCAAAGAGCAAAGATCATACACAATCTAGATTTTAGGCAGGTCTGCTCATGTACAATTATTCAAACAAACCTAAGTCATGGTTTGGTCAGCTTTTTCCAAAAGGGGATGGAAATTAGGGCTTTTTGTTTTGTTTTACTTCTTGCAGGAAAAGTACAAAGCAGTTACAGATATTTATGTATTTTTAAAGCTTTAATAGAAAATCAAGCAGATTTACAGCATAGAATTTCAAAGCACAGGAAAATCTCTTTCTGCCTTTCTCTGCTGTTCTAATTGCCATCACTGATCGTATATTATCAATTTATGTAGCTGTCTTGGAATGCTCCAGCTTCTTACTAGAGTACTGCAAGCTGGGGTCTGGGCCAACATGTACAGTGGAAATCTTTAGTCTACTAAATAAACTATGGAAAAACAAACACATCATTCCGCAAGATAAATAATTATAAGCAGTTATCACTATATTTCTTCAGTTCCACTTTAGTGTTAGCTCACTTTATTTTAATACAGAATGTTTGGACTTTATGTATTTATACCTCTTTTTATTACTCTACAAAAGCTAGTATTGATTTTCACAGAGCCATAACATACCTATATTTGTTTTTGTCCTTGTATGCCTTACGAATTCTGTCAGTCACAGGTTTGCAATTAGTCACTAGGTTTTTAGTCACCGGAGGCTGGAAGAAAATATGGCTTAGTTTATAGGTTACTGAAGTATTTATGAAGCCTGTTATAAGGGAATGCATTCTAGAAAGTTACATTATAGCTGTGAAGAACTATTTATTCTTTATTCTCCTGGAACAAAGAAATAATACTGTTTCTCGATCACCTGTTGAGAAAAATCATACTGGTACACTGTCTAGATTTCATCCTCAGAACAATATTCAGAAATTGTAGCTCATTTCACAGCTCCTTCTAAAATTCCTCCAGTGGAAACCACAATAGTGGCCAGGCACTCTGCAGAACAGATGATACACATTAACTGTATTTCCATCACAACAATTCTATCTACTTTTATCGTCAAACTACTCTGGGAAATAAAAATCCCTGTTCTAAGAGGACATTTCTAAGGTAATAAAACACTCCTAGAAATTTATCTGTTGCAGACAACAGAAGAAAAAAAAAAAAATTAAAAAAAAAAAAAGACTTCTGTGCTAAACACTTAACACATTTTTGTGACTATTTTAACATTTAAAATTTGTATATCAGGCATTAGTGCTTACATATTACATACAGTAATATTTTACTTACTCTCCAAGATTTTAATAATTTGTCATTGGAGACTTATTTTTAATCCTGTCTGAAAACAAACTCATGGCAGCCTCTTTAAAAGTTTATTTTCACAAAATTTTGCAAACTTAATTAGAAGTCAAAGAGGCAAGTAAAGAGGCAAAACAAAGAAAGGTAACATCCTCATATTATGCAGAATTCTCAAATCCACACTTTAATTTCATGAAACCGAGCTGGCACAATGATTTTATACAGTTTTGCTGGACTTCATACTTAGAGAAAAAATATTTTTAAAACCTTGTAACATGATATGATCAAGAAATCAAGACAGGATAGGTGTTCAGTGTCATAAAAAACAAGGCCAATCAATAGTCAACGCTCCATATACATTTACCTACACAAACACTTTAGAACCCTGTGCTTCTGGTTTGCATGTGTTGGGGGATATCCAATGGTTGCTCTTGACCTATACTCAAAATTATTTTAGCTTTGATACAGTGCTGGTTTTAAAGTATAAAGCATGATGAACTTAGCAAAGCTCATGCACACATGTTTTTCAAAAGCATGGACTGAGGCAGGAATTAAATCATCACTTGAAAAAAAATGTAGATATAAGTGCCAGATCTAAATACTATAAATTCCTCAATTCCCATAAATTTCAATGAGAATTTAACAACCAAAATAGAAATTCAGTATATAAATCCTTAATGAATTTCTTGTCCAAAGCCTTCAATCTTTAAAGGTTAAAAGGTGTTACTTAGAAGCCTCTGAATTAGGAAGGATGGCTCTGAAGATTTTCAAGTGATTTTTAAGTCTGTTTGAATGACGTCCTATGTGCTATTTATCAGAAAGTTCTAATCAGGAAAGTGTTATACATACTGTCTTTTTGGTTCACAATGCTGAATTTTCTTAACAAGGATGACTTTTTAAATCCCATATATCATAAAATTTTAAAGCTCAGCTTTTCTGATTTTGAAGGAAATTTTAACAGTTTTAAAAGTAGCTTGTAGAACTTTCATATTTAAATATTTAATATACACATTATTAGAAATTTTTGTGAATAATTTCCTTTTAGAAATCACACCAACATTTCAAGCACAGTAACTACTTGCTTAGGAAAGAAATCAAACACCTTTTAGGACCAACATCTCTTACCAGATTGGGATCATAATATGCTTCCTGAGTTGGTGGAATGACATGGATCTGAGTGATGTTAGCAGGAAGAGATTTCGAACAATTTATTAGCATTTGTTCCAGACCTGTCAAATCCTATCAGAAATGGAAGAGGAAAAAAAAAAAAAAAAGATAATATTGCTTTCTCATTGTGATAGTCCTGAAGTCAAGGATGCACATATTTAATGTTATATACATAAAATGTTTCCAAACTACTATGGGGAAAAAAAAAAGAAAAAAAAACACATTAGCAGACCCCAGTACATTAACTACTAAAGTTAATGGGACTTCCCATATGTTTCAGTGAAGCAAATGATGCTTGGTTGAATTGAGATCACAACACACCTTTAGAGATAATATAAAGGAGAATAGAGAATTCCCAATACAGGGGTGGCATATTAAATCACAGATCAAGCAACCAAAAAAAATAAACTGAAAGGAAGATTTTCTGATTAAAGTACTGGCCAGGAACACATTAAAGCAGAGATGCATTACAGCTATGTATGTCATTTCAAGAACATTATTGATATGTGCCCCGATCCCTCTCAGTAAAGCAGAAGGAGTACACAATTCTCTATCAACTGAATCTAAGAGCACAAGACACAAGAAAACTATGTCTCTTTTCTTACCAGTTTCCCAGAAAAACAGAAATGTGAATCATTTATATGGTCATAGTATTTACCAGTAACACCATTTCTTTGCTGCCCTTTTCCTCGCATCTTTCTTTAGGGTACAAGTTTTACAGTCAAGAATGTGGTTGGTTTTTGTTTTGTTTTATAAATTATGTGCAAGCCCAAGAGTAAGCACAACAGAATCCCACACTTCATGCTGCATTTTAGCAGTGAACATTTTTTCCTCACAAATTCATACTACACACTTCCTTGTTCTCAGGATACCAGTCACCAATTTTTCCAATGTTGCTAGAACTCAACTTAATTGTTGAGTCCATAGAAGAATGGTCCGTAAAGAAATAGAAAGTAACTCTGCATTCTCCAGCTAAAATTTAAGAATTGCCAGATGTTACCAATGTTAAAGAAAAGTAAAGATTTTATTCATTTTATTGTAACAGTTTTGGATTTCAGAAATTAAATTACTCGAATAGTTATTACTGAGGAAAATACCTGCAAACTTAATGGTAGTTCATGGATTCTTGTGGCCAGTGTGCGAATCTCTCGGTCAGACAAAATCCCTGACTGGTCTGTATCAACCTCATCGAAGATCTGAGAAACATTCAGTGGCTGAACTGCACTCATAAGATAGTAGAAATATGAAAAAGCAAACTGCATATCTTCTGAGTGCCGCACTTTGTGAAATGATGTCTTGTCAAACTCCTCAGGAAACCTACATAAAAGGATAAGTTAATACACTGGTTTCTGGTAAAACATTGCTCATCTGTAAACAAATTTTCATCTAAATTTTTAAAAAGTTCTCAAAAGTCTCCTTAGCTAAACACAACCAGCATGTTTCCCTTTCCAAAATATGATTTTTACGAATAGCTACTAATACATTAGAAGTAATTATAACAAAGCATTAACAGAAATACAGAATTATCTAGTTACGTGTATCTCCAACGAAAGACATACTCACATGTCCTGCAGCTCTTGCATAACAGTGCGGTCAATCATGTGAGGCATATGAGCAGGGACTTTCCGAGATGTAAATCCAAATTTACTGTTTAAAAGCTTATTTACATATCGAAGGGAATCAGCAAATGTATCTTTCAGCTGCCTTCCAAGATGTCTACCATCAGTAAAGTATGACATTTCTTTGAGTAATGACTCTTCCTCCTAAACAGCAAGATAAGCATACGTTAATGTTATATTATCAACAATGCTCAAAAGCATAAAACACATAGGAAAGTTGACATTTCAGGCAGGTGCTGGTTCTTTTTTAAGAGGTGAAAATGGAAAGAGAAGCTTTGAATATGTTTCTTCGTGTTCTTCTGATTTCTCTTTAAAAATAAAAGAAATAGAAGATAACTTCTTACTTAAAACTGCTATGCTCTGAGGAGAAGTGATTAATAGTTAATAGTGGATATTACTCATTTTTCTTCTGACATCTCTTCTGATATACACACTTCAGTCACTTTTTGCTATATTTGTAATACTGCCCTTTTATTTATTTATTTTTTTTCACATGTAGTAGTTGAGATCTTACAAATATAGAGATTTCTCATGCAAAATCCAATCCTAGAAGAACAGAAAGAGGTAGGCTTTTAGAAACATACCACCTTTGCTGTCTGGAGTAGTGCAAAGCAGTTGCTGCAAAACACAGTCTCTATCTTCTCTTCTAGAGGTTTTCAAAACTGCCAAAATGCTTTGGGTGGAAGTTTGGTAGACTTTCATTTTAACATTTAGAACACATTTGTATTTGAATACTTTTATGGATTGGATCCACTTTGGTATAAGCGTAACCCCAAAAAACTAATGTTTCTTTAGAGTACTATAGCATCCAAATAATATCACTGCATCAACATGCACTGAAAAAGAAGTGAATCTGACTTTAAAAATAAATAAATAAATACACAAGAAAACCCACAGTAGAAACAGAACAGAAATGGCTATTTGACTTTTACCACCTAGCTGAGAGAGGTCCAAATTATAAACAAATTAGCTTTTACAGGAAAACTCGAAGAGCTTTCAAAAAAATCTTGATAGGTGCATCAAAAGCAAGTCACATTCTAAATTTACAAATCATATTAATAATATGCAGAAAGATGCAACTATTCTAATAAGCAGTTTTAACTAGTCTAATAAGCAGGTTTAACCTACTGCCTTAACTAAGACAACAGTATGAGATACTCACATCAAGAAGGTCCTGGAAATACTTCTTTTTCTCCCATGGCAAAAAGCCTTGGTAACTTCCTGCATAAGACTGCAATTTTCTTCCCACTAACTCCTTTCTTATATTTGTATCCAACTGTACATGCCCTTTCTTTCCTTCCATTCCCTCTGCATCTTCTCCAGCTTCTACATTTGCAGTATTTTTTGATTTCTGGGTTCCCCTTAATATAAGCGCATTCAATACTTTATCTTTTGGTTCATTTTCATTTCCTATGCTCTGGGCTGGATGTGCGGATTTAGGCTTTATCCTAGAAATTGGTTTATTTGTGTTCACTGTCACACCAGTCTCCTTTGTTCCTGTAAGCCTTGGTAGAAATTCATCATTTGCTTTTGTTTTTTCTATTTTGCCATTGTTTACATCTTCATGAGGCTTCTGCCAGCTGGTTACATTCTTCTGATCTTGTAGACTATAATGCACTCCATTCTCTTCCAGACCTGCAATCTTCCTTACTGTAGTTAAGAACTGAAAAGGTCTCAGGAGAGCAGCCTTGGATAGGTTAAACCCCTTCTGAGTGATATCACCGTTTGCTAGTTTTAAGTCTAGGTTCTGCAGTGCTAGTTGAACACTTTCAGGAAGGAGAGATGGATTCACTGAAGGTATTATCACCTCTTCATGGAGACTCTCTCCTGTGCCATTTCGATGTCTCTTGACTCTTGGAAAGCGTTTTTCTTCAGGAATATCTTCAAATATCATCTCAGCTTCTGGTATTGTTGTTGTTTTAAAATCAGAGTTGGATTTTTGCATTGAAGTTGTATTCAGTTTTGGTTCCTCTCTAGTATCAACTTCAACAGCTACGTGCATTTTAAACTCGTCATCATTTTTATTTAGAAACGTAAGATTAAAATAGATCACAGTTGTATTCATGCCACTGTGCATTATGAGGTGGATAGTCTTCCATTTGTTTGCAACTGAAGCATGTCGGATAATTGGATTATCACTATATGAACCCTCAATTGCTTTCTTGGCTATTTCACTGAAGCTGAAATAGGGCAGACATTCACCTTTTGGAACAACATAGTAGGTTTGATTTAGCTGAAGTGTCACCTTGTACATTTCTTCAAAGTGATCTGGAAAAAAATAAATCTGTCAATTTCTAGTGAGATTTTTCTTCCACCAATCTTTTCTAGGTGCAATATATCCAGCAGCGAGACCACTTTGTGAAAGAACACTTACTGTGGCTTCTGATTTCTTACTAGCATTTAATGATGGTTTACTAGAACAGAATTATAAACCTGGCATTCATTCTAGTGGCAATTATAAAAAGAACTGTAATTCTAGAAAACACTCCTTCTACATAAATAGCTTAGCTGGCTCATTACTACATCTCACTAAAAATTAAGTATCAGTTGTAAGTAACATGCTCATATTACATTTTTGTCATATTTTGTCACTCGCATTACAAAAGTTGTTCACTACTACATTGCATCTTGATTTGGAATTTCCAAAATCAGACACGTTGAGATGAAATTTTCCTTGCCACGGAGAAAACATAGCAATCTCATGCATTCATTACTGACGCCCCCCCCTTCTTCGCGGCATAGCTCATGGCTTAAACACAGTAAGATTCAAAAGCCCATCCTAAATCCAGTTGCTTATGCATTTGAACATCACAATTATAAGATGAAAGCCTCTGTAGCCAGCAGCACACAAGGAAAAGACACGTGCAGAAAACTCACTCCCCAGCAGAACCCACAGGTGACTGAAAGTAGCCTCTGGCAAGAGAGCAGAGTCAGGCTTAACTCTCACCTTCAGCATCACAGAGGTCCTTTAATTTCCTTTTTTAACCATTATGAGATCATCAAATCAGCAGTTCTCATTTGAGTAAAGACAGTTTGCATAGCTGAAATATAATTTCTGCACTTTAAGTGTAAGCCTCTTGGGTAATGACTTTGATGCACGTTGTTTCATAAGACATCAAGCACCTCACCTTATCAATGCTTGGTAAATACAGATTAACAAAAATAGCATGCAAAAATGAATTCAAATTTAGATTAGTGAATACAGGAAGTGCCTGATTATTTCTTTCAGCTGCTGGCAGCTCTTTTTCTTGACACTGCTGGGCTCTTAGAACTATTGGAGAACAAGGAACCAAAAAACCTAATGCAATTCAAGAGAAGATTTACAGCTATGTATTTTACATACCTTGCCCACAGTCACCAGCATCAAATCCACAGGAGAGGACATTGCAGGCCTGATCACAGAATTTATCTGCTAGCCAGGAATTAGCACAACCTTGGTTACAGTATGAAACACCACTTATTCCTGCACCAAACTGCCATGGTGGTCCATTCCCTATACCTCCTACTGCACCACCACCAGCAACATAGCGACTACCTCCACTGTTACCTAAAAAGAAAAATTACAAAGATCAATCATTTGAAATTCTTCCTTCTGAGGAAAGGACATTTTAGTATACAGTGTTAAAGCTGGATTGAAAAGTCAGCAGAATCTTATTTATCAACAGAAAAATTGAAACCCAATTAAATACTCTGTGTACAATTGTACAATCTTTATTTTATATAATTTTATATAGATATAAATCTCACTGTAGACTTTTGCAAACCAACTTAAAACTGCAACAAAAACAGCAGTGTATTTTATATTCACTTCAAAAACGTAGGCAGAAAACTGATTTACTTCTGCTTGCATTATTGACTCTGCAGTTCCCTACAGTACTGCATCACTTCCTCAGTGCAGAAGCCTCACTTCATTTTCATAACCTACAGCCTGGAAAAATTGAATTTAGGTGCAGCTTCACAATGAACTTAGACTGCTCTGACTGCTTTCATGTCAAATGATTCACTTTTCCTGCACGTCACAATCATCATGGCTTTTCTGGGAGGAAAAGAGAGAGGGGATCATCCTCTAGCTTCATAAAGGATGAAAATAAATATCTATTTAAAGTGTTCAATAGAAAAGGAAGTAAAAATGAACCTTGTAATCAAAGTTACCCCATTGTGTTCACTTCCAGATAGTGTTAAGGATTTTCAAGGCATGGAAACTGATCCAAAAATGGAAAAGCAGTGGAACACAGATCAGAATCAGAAAAGTGATGATATCTACTTAGACTATATTTGACTGTGGCTTTAAAAACATAAAGTAAAATTTAGGAGAGGAGCGTGTACAGACAGCCTCCTCCATGAAGGGAAAGTGGGTCAGAACTTTGAAAATTAAACTGCATCATAAAACTCTTGTGCAAAAAGACTTACCAGCAAATACTCTGGTCAGACCTTTAAATGCAAAGTCAACTTAAAATTTCACCTTAATATGAAGCAAGCAATATTAAAAAAATAGGAAAGCGAAAGGAGACAGTACAACCTGTACTACTGTGCAAAACACTGTCATCATATTCACAGAACTTCAATTTACAATATACAATACTAAATGTTTCAGATAGTGATATTCTGTTCATGGTTCTTAATTAATCGACCAATCTCTCTTTTCTTACTTGTTTTCTTCTCTGAACAACAGACAATTTTGTTAAGGAATGAAACCAGGACTGAAATTCCCTTGAAAGTGCAAAATTATTTGGACTCTGAGGTTCAAAAATTTTCCTGTCACATAGTCAACTTTGATAGCTAAAAGAAAAAAAGGTTTCTTTTGTGTACCTTTTAGTATACGTGAATTTATTTATCTTTAATATTTAGGATGACTATTTTTCCCCTGTTACAGAAGGTTATTTTTTGTTTGTTTGTTTAAGTTACAGGAGAATCACATATTACAGAATTTTAACAAAAAAGAAAGCGTGGGTTTTTTTGCCCTAAATTAACCCTGTCATCTTACCAATGCAGTCACCTCCATCCCAATCACAAGCCGAGTTATTACAGGCTTTATCACAGTAACCATCTTTGATCCATGAACCAGGACATCCTTCAGCACAGTTTGGCACAGGCCAAGTCAAGTAAACCTGGAACAACATTACAGTTTGAGCCAAGGTCTGTCAAATAAAAGTCAGCTGAGCTTGTTTCTTGGAATATAGACTTAAAATAATTAGTCTCTGTATACAATGTCTTCAGTGTCTGCAAAGTTAAACTTTTAAACTGCATTTGAACTTCATCAGGCGAAATAAATGTTATCCCTTTCAAACAGAAGGAGATCAAGCCTCATATTAAATGAGATCTCTTGGCTACAGAGCATGGCAGCAATGGCTGAAAATAGGAAGTAGGACATACCAGGACATCCCAAATTCACTTTTGCAAAACATCTTCAAATGAAAATTAGTATTTTTATCTTTTTAAAAAAAATCTGATAAAGGAGGAGATTTCACTCTAAAATAGCTCTGAAGTTCACTTGTTTCCACAACTAAAGATGTTTCTTTATCACTTACCAGTCATGAGATAAGAAGCACACACTGAACATCTGATTCTCTTTGATCAAATAATTCTTAGAATTACCAAGATAAAAATAAGGCATGTCAGTACGTACATTTTCAACTGAGAGGGCATTAAAAACCACATACATTTTCCTTTAGACGTTACTGTTTCAAGATTTCTGTAGCACATTTAAAACAGTACGCAAGTTTTAAAGTTTTTCTCCACGTTACTCCTGTAGATCAAGCTGATGGTTGAAAACTCTGCTGGTACCCCATAGTCTTTATGCTGAACTATAGTCCTCAGCCTGCTTTCTTTATTTAAGCCCAGTCACGATAGGTTTGTTTTTGAAAAACTAAACGACTTCATGTTCACTAAAAGCACTACCTTTCTGTACACAATTATATATAATTCTACAAAGATTTGGCAAAGAAATTGTAGTTCTCTAGAACAGAGATTGTTAATGGTAAATTTAAATATTAGACTAGTCTGAACATCATCAGATCTCAGCATTACCATGGAAGAATCTATTTGGAACAGAACATTTTCCTGTGAATTATTTTTTTTTCATGGAATGAGTTGGCAGCTTTCAAATACGAAATTGGTCTTCCGAGTGCTCACACAGAAAGTGGAAGAAAAATTACAAAGTGAAGCCAAACAGAGGACTATTATGCCATTAAAAAAAACAAAACAAACAAACAAAAAAAACAGGGAGAAAATACCAGAAGGTAATTCTGCAATCCAAGAATCCAAGCATCAACACAATACAATCACATGGCACCTTTGCCACCAATTGTCCATCTAAGAATAATGATCCATTAGAGGTATAAGATGAGAAGGGATAGTGCCTTTCTCTCTCTTTCCAAGTAGTGTTTCTTCACTTTTTGCTATATTAGCACAGAGAAGTTTCAAGTCTAAAAAATTATTTCATAAGAGCTTACCTTTTGACCTTTAGAGTGACTGTAAAAATCATCAGGCCAAACATCCTTTCCAAACATAACATCATCATTGAGATAGATAAACTTCTGAGAGAGACCGTTGATACGATGAATGTGGCTTTCAATAGCTGGTGAACTGAAGGTTGGCAAGTGACTCACATTCTGAAATATTTCCTGAAAGAACAAGAAGAGACATATAAAAGAAAAAAGTGAGAAAACATTAGCAAAAAACTAAAACTTCTCTATTTCCTTTTCCCATGTAAAACCATTTTCATGTCTGATGCTTAACAAAAACCTGCACCTCATTCAATGCAAAGACACAAACTATCTATTTCACTGGCTACTGGATCAGGCCCAGCGTACATGTATTTATACTACTTGCGCAGTACAGGAAGAACAAAATTTCAAGTTGAATCTGTTCCAACATTCAAACAGCGTTCTTCCATCTCTTTCAGATAACTTAGCAAGCAGATAGCAACAGAAGCTGAATTAGTATCTTGTTACCACTTAAGTTGCTCATGGCTCCTATGTCATATCCACAGATCAAACTTACTCTTGATTTTGTATTAAAAAACTACTAGAGTATTTTTGTTGTTTCACTTATTTGGGAAGCTTGCAGGATTCCCTTTCTCTTTTAAATAAGCCTTGCAGAATGCGTAGCTAGTTGATTTTTGGAGCCATCTTCTTCATTTCAACAACTGTTGTCCACCCTGTCAGCAAATTTATTAGGTTAGCACTAGTTCTGAGTTCATGGATACAAATTATCTTTTCTTGCCATATGTTTTTTGTTGTTTTTTAATAAACATACTTTTATAAGGAAATTAGCACACATTGGCTGAAATCTTAGTATTTGGAGAAGTTAACTCAGTGAAGGGTTGATATACCTTCAGTTACCTGCTTAACCTGAGATATCTGTATCTGAAGTACTAAAACATATTGGGGTTTAACAAAACAGTGCATGGGAAGGGGGAGAGTTGGTCACTTTGTTCCTAACAAAAGCAGCCTTCAGCTGAAAGGGGCTAATTGCATTTCAAAACAGAATCTTTACTGATGGTACTTTTGTGCTTTTTCCTTTATTGTTGTTAGGTGGGGTTTTTTTTGATTGGCTTTGTGGCTTTTTGTTGCTTTGTTTTTTCTCTCCCAGGGTTGGAGGTTTTTTGTTGCTTATCTCTGGGGGTTTGTTTTTTGTTTTTACCTGGTGGGTCACTATGGTTATCCGGGGATTATCCAGGTTAAGCCAGGAAGGAATCTGCCCATTAGTGACAATGAAAATATGTCGCACCCAAGGAGCATGTCTCTCTATTGATCGTAAGGAATACCTCAGCTCTTCGTTATCTTCAAAACGGCTGGCAGAAATATCTTCATCCTGCTTAGACTATTAAAAAAGAAGAATCTTTTAGATTTTAAACAAACCATTTAAGTTCCAATCCAGCCAGTAAACAGTAGAATCCTTTACCATACAGGTCACAAGTAATAGAGATTAAAAAAAAATAAAAATACAGTGATCAAGTACTGACATTCCTCTAGAGGATTATACTTGACTAAACTGTCAAGGTGAACAGTACATCAGTGGCTCACCACTTGGCATCATTAAGTCATCTGCTGACCACACTGCAAGATGACAGTGCCTCATGTGATCCAGCTCTTGGAGAAAGAACCTCAGTTAAAAACAAAACAACAAACAAAACCAAACAAAAACAGCAAAAAACCCCACCCTCTTGCTCTCGTGAATTATCAGTCTCAATTATTTGCTGATCTTGATCAAAAGCCAAGTTGCATTTCATACCAGTAACATCATCTTTCAGAACTGCTGTTTTAAGAGACTGGGGCCTTCCAAGCACATCACATCATAAACCGTATATAACTGTGTCACCTAATATAGAGATACTGCAAGAGTGGTGATGTAGCTGCTCTTCAATTATCTGCTGGTCTTTCATTAAAAAAAAAAAAAAAAAAAAAAAAAAAGGAGGCAATCAGCTAATTTAATCCTAATCCTAATATTCACTACAAATAGCTGAACTAAAGATTTCCATAAGTTTTTTAAAGGGAAGCATTTGAAATTAGAAATTTCTCAGGTAAATAACAAATGTTTTTTACCACATTTCTTCTCCGTTTATAAGAACTTAATGGCCTCTTCCTAAACTGAGAATTAAACTTGCCATAAAGAGTAAGTATGGAAGCATGCCCAATTAGAAAAGGACACTTGAGGAAAAAATGGTAATCGTCTAACACTGAATTTTCACTGCAAATTCTATGCACTGTAAATAAGTCTCCTTTCCAATATATATTAATACAACATATGGATTCTGCAAAACATAAATGAAAACATTTAAAACAACTACATCAGCTAAGTGCTCATTTATAAATTGATGAATAATGTAAACATGGGAAAATACGAAGTCTGAGTTCATGGACTGTACCAATAAGCAAAAGTTCCCCAAACCCAAGTTAACTGGCTACAGAAAGCCAGTTAAGCATTATTAGAAACTTTACCCATGCTACTTGACATTATTAAGGGAAAAAACAAGATTTTAGATCTCATCTTGGAAGAGCTATCCTGGTGATTTTGTTTGTTTTCCTTTTGATAAACTTAGCATTCCTGCATTTATTCCTTGTTCAAATTAGAACTCTTTTCCCTATGGACACCTGTATTTAATTTCTTTGATTTTTTACAGAAGAGAAGTGATCAGCATTTGTTCAGCAAATGTAACACTGATCACTGTGCAAAAAAAAAACAAACCCAAAACTAAACTAAACAACAAAAAAACAAACCCACCACAACAAAACCCTAAGAAGCATACTGGGAAAAAGGTAATCACGTTTGTTAATAAAACCCTGTCTCTCTCCCACACACAAGCAATCTGTTTGTCAGTTAGCATCAATTAGGCTTTTTGGGACTATACTGCCCACAACCTTATAAAAACACATGTAGAGGGCAACATTTTTAATTGAAATTTCCTTATTGTCTAATAAATGAAATGCCACTCTTCATGATGCTTCCTCCTTTTTGATTTTAGAATTTGGCAGTGTTCTTATGGCATTTAATTACAACATAATAAATACCTTACCACACCCAAATTTTTTAAAGAAATCCCATGCTCCTCATCATTAATTAGTTAATTGTAAGCACACTTTGTCTGCACACTGCAACCTTTACATTCTGTAACAGGGTTTACCTACCTGACTAATGGAGCTCAGGTCCCACAGTAAGTAAGCAGGATTAAGCGTTAATTCTTTTCCATCTATAGTCATGTTCTTCTTCGCTTGTTTGCTCAGTTCATGGAAACCCTTGGGGTTATTCAGTTGCAAAAGAGCCACACTGGCTTCTGAATAGAGCTGCAACTACAAATGGAGAAAATAATGTTTGGCATGTACCCACAGCAGCACTGTTCTTTGGCCAACTCAATCTTTCTGTTCTATTTTCTTGCTGGCATTATCAGTAAAAATGACTGGTAAACACTGTTTTTAGAGAAGTACAATTTTGAAGGAACAAAAAAAAAAAGGGGTAACAAAACAGGAAATAAAAAGCATTTTAAGATATAGAACACTTCTAAATGCAAAGCCTTCACCTTCCAAAACAAATATTGCACTTAACGCAATAATCCAGTGACAGTAAGCTGTGTCAGAAATATTTAAGTGAGTAAGTCTCCTCCATTGTCTCCTACCTCCAACAACAAAATGTGAATTTGTGAATCACCGCAACTCTCATATGGCTGAAAGAATCATACTTCGCCCCTTTTAGTCAACTATTACTTTTCTGATGAAATTAAGGCCACCAATTCATCTTCGCTGTCAGAAGCGTGAAATATTCAGAAGGGTTTAGAGATCAACATACAGTTCAGAAATCTGAGATACAAAGGGCTCCAGAACTAATCCATGCAGGTCTCTGAGTCCTTAATGTTGGTTGCCAATACGCTGTTAAGGTCATTTCTTAGTTGGAGACTGTTTGATCTGTTTGCTGTTTTTATCTCTTGCCACCAGTAATTCTGGCTATCAGATTTCATAATGCACAGGATAAGAAGGAGCTTGCAGTAGATGTCCCATCTAATAGTATTATAACTTACAAATTGCAGGGCAGTGAAACATTTCCATAAAAATATAGCATAGCCCCAATAAAACACCGTATTTACCATATGTAGGAATGTGAGAAGATGCTGTGCTCAAAGTACAGCTGCACTTTCACACTCTAAATGCTTGCATTCAACAACACTCAGATTGAGAATAAATGCAGTTAACCACTAACAATATTTATTAGATATAATGCTTAATTGTTGTACTTTCATGCAGCATCAGAGTAATAAGCACATCTATCAGATTTTCACAGTTGGATGCTATCTGCAAAAGCAATTAATAACATTTTAAACACTGAATTTTTACCTTCATAATTCCCTTACAGATATTTTTTTCTTTTATTTATTAAATTTGCCTGTTTCTGTTCATTTTAAAACACCACTTGTCCCAGAGTCAGCACCCCTTCCCTTAGCAAGACCAGCTGTCTCACTTGTGACATTTTAAAGCTGTTGATGCTTTGAGTCATATGCTATTTGAGATCTTTCAATCTGACTTATGAAGCCTGCCATTAGAAAAATCTGATAAATCTCAGACCTTCCAGGGAATCATTTGAACCTATGAGTGGAAAGGGTGGCTTCAGTAGTTCAGTGGCTGAGGTATAGTTACAGACTGCAACTAGCAACCCCTAAAATATCTGAATACTACAGATTGCCAAGCTACCATTAGTGGTCATGTGCTTTATTTAGGAATACAACAGTGTCACACAGTTCCTTAGAATCTGTTACCTATACATAAGACAAACCAGATTGCTGCTCTAGAAGAAGTACTTAAGATTATTTAGTTTCTCTTTAACTTGTTTCCACAAGATTTATTGCTCCCAACTAATATAGCATTTAAGCTTAAGGTTTTTAAAATTAACAGTCCAAGTACAAACAAGTAGAAGAAAAGTATGTACTACTGATTAACTTAGGAGCTTGTGTTAGTTTTTACACCAATAGTGTGTTTTTTTCAGAAAAAAAAGTATTTTCATAAGGAATGGCTATGGATAAATTTAGATTCCAATGAAATCTCACGATGACATAACTTACCATACCTTTAAAATTCTTCATGCTTTGATTGGAACTTTCTGTTGCTGGTAAAATAGCATTCTCCCTTGCAGATTTTCTAAAGTCTCATATCTATTATCCTTCTCTCAGTGAGGAGGCATGCAGTTACCCATTTTCTTGAAATATGATATTCTGCAGACTGCCTTCATCCTGATCAAACTGGTCAGACAAACCAGCGATGTTGTGAAAGCAGAACAGAAACAAGCAAGCAGGTAAAGTGCCAAGAGTCAGAGTGATCTGGCAAGTTTTGGCTTCCAGCAGCAACAGCTGAGAAGACACCCCAGCAGGATGGCATATCAACCACCACCCACGGAAAACAGCATCTTCCACATCAGGTAACTTCAAGTACAAGTTCTCCTTCAGAGCCAACACCTTTCACACTGCTAAGTCTACACTTGGAAGTAAGCTGGATAGGAAGTAAGATGCTCCTTTTTTTTCCACACTCCCATATGGACACTAGGAAAAGCCACACTCTCACATAGCAAGGAGAGGTGAGGCTGGGGTGGTGGTGACTTGTGTCATGTCAAAGAGGTGGAAAAGCTCTTGTGAGTATGAAATACTGAGGTCACTGTACACTTACCAAGTTTATAAACTAATGTAGTAGGAGAACCTTCTCTGAAAGTCAAAACCAACACAATCCTTAAGGCTCCCTTCCCAGAACTGGCTTTGAGAACACACAGCAACAGCTCCTGATGCCAACTGTCTGCTCCTTCAATAAGAGCATGCAGCAGGAATCCCAGAACTCCATTGTCAGGGCATCCAGAAACACAGAGTTTCACAGTGCCTACAGGCTCCTATGTAGATTTTCTTTCATCGGTAAGATAAGGGCAGTAAATGACAACTATGCACCTTGGTTTCTAACACAATTTGTCCACATACGTGTGTGTGTGCACATTAAAGAGAAACCAGAATTTCACAAAGGAAACTGAATCTTCAGAGAAAGTCACCTTTGTGCAAAAAGAAAAGCACTATATATTAGCAGAAAAAAAAGTACAATGGTCTCAAAAACCAAACCAAACCCTTCAAACCTTCCCTTGTCAAACTTCACATCACTACCAGCTCCCTAGTTTTTGGGTCACAAGGTTCTATTTTAGGCTGAACAATAACAGTCTCATTTAGAAACATAGGTAAGGGACAGGGGAAGGAAGAGTAAAAAATATTTTTTACCAGCTCCTCTTCAGCATTTTAAGTTCAATTAACATCTCTCCAGTCTCTAAACAAAAATCACTTAGCAGCAAACACATAATCAGAGTAACATCCCCACCTAGTGGTTTATTAATGCACTATTAAGAAAGCATGGGAAATAATAGAAAGCCAAACATTTCCAGCCACACCTGTTAAAACATAGGCAATGCAAAGCAAGAAATGCAACAGCAGATATACTGCTTTTACCCTTCTAAAGGAGTGAAGTTTCCATACTATTACACTGCAACGCAGGCAGTTAAATACAAAAATTCAGGAGACTGTAACACACATAACACACCCTTGAAACCTCCTCTTGATGAGCACAACTGATTCTCTCAGAGAACCACTGAAGGTTTTTAGAACAAAAAAAGAAAAGTGTGGTCCAGAGGTAAGAGCAATTTTTATTGCTTTTTGGATTCAGAAGTGATTTAAATCAAATGAAAATGATCTGATTAAAGCAGCATTATCAATACTCAGCAAGGTACATTCCTCCATGTCTCCACTTCCCACATTCCTTCCCTTCTAAAAACTGCTCAGATGTTTTCACAGATGAAATTTTAAGTTAATTTTTCTTTGCTTTCAGCACTGCAGTAAGAAACTACCATTAAAGAGACTCGGGAGGAATCCATTAAGAAATGGGAGGTAGTGATAAGACAAGTTTAGCCTAATGCAAGTGTAACTTTATTCCTCTCCACTAGGCACCTCACAGCACTTTACAGACCTTAGATTCTAGAAGCAGCAACGGTAGAGAAATCACTAGTCTTCAATCTTCTAATAGCTGTCTACAACTACCTGAAGGGAAGTTGTGGTGAGGTGAAAGTTGGCCTCTTTCCACATGTAACTAGTGACAGGACTAGAGAGAATGGCCTCAAATTGCACCAGAAGAGATTCAGGTTGGGTGTTAGGAAATACTGCTCATCCAAGAGAATGGTCAGGAAGATGGTGGAGTCACAGTCACTAGAGGTGTTCAAGAAACCTTTAGATGTTGCACTGAGGAACATGGTTAGTGGGAAATACTGGTGTTAGGTGGACAGTTGGATTGGATGATCTTACAGACTTTTTCCAAGCTTGTTCATGCTAGGATTCTATGATTCAGTGGAGACTGAACAACCAACCCTTCTACTTAGCAGTAGCATTAACCTAGCATCTCTCTAGTTGGTAAAGAGGGAACCTCACCTGGTTATATTTATCACAGCTGCCTATCTACAGCTTCCAGTAGAAGAAGAACCAGCGTGAGTCTATAACAATAAATTATATTTACATTTAATATGCAAAGCTTTAGACCCCGTAAATAAGCACCTTATGTTTATATTCACATATTCTGTTATAGATTTAACGTGAATAAATTGATGATTAGTCAACTGGTCGGCAAAGAAACTGCCTCCTACCTCACTATAACTACACAGAGTACACTAATCTCAGGTTAAATGCTCTAAAGCTTCTACTACCAGGTGGAACACAGACAAAAATGACACAATGACAACGAAGTGGAGAATCTGCAGAATGCAATGGATTCCTGAGGAAAAAAAAACTGTTTACACAGAGAAACATCTAACCAAATTGCAGAAGAGGAGCTCTTAGGAACAGATAATAAGCTGGTCACAATGATAACGTCTACAGAAAGGTAAGAGCACACAAAGAATGACAACTGTTAACAAACATTGAACAATCAAGACAGGGTAAAGAAAAATCCTGTAGAAAGATAAGAGGCATTGGATGTCATTCCCATGAAGAGACAAGGAGATACGCTGCATCTCTGGCATCTTAACATTCATCTGAAAAGGAATCCAAAACCCTAGAGAAAGTATAGCATTCTTCAAAATTTGTTAAAGCAGACTAGCCAGTTACTTGGATGCAAGAAGCAGAACTGAAATGCAGAAATAACCTATCCATGCTTTTTCTGAAGTAATGACTACTGCTAGGAAATACTGCTGGAATGAAAAAAAAAATAATTAACTGTAGTTGCAGAAGACAGTAAAAAAAATTAAGATCCAGGCAGAATCATTCCACTCTAACAAGTCTTGAAACAAGAGAATAAAAACCAGTAGATCAGTCAAATGTAATAAGGGGCAAATCTAGGAATCTAGGTATTTCACTCTTCTAAGTCATCCACTAAGGAAAGCATCTCTTGATGGAAAAATCTTCATTGTCACCCAAGAAACACAGGCTAGCCTGAGAATAAGGCCTCTGCTTTACAGACGTGTGGCAGAAAACCTGGAGAAAATTATGAATTTCTCAATCCTGGGAGGAAAATTCCAGACTGAAGCATAAAGGAGAAAAGAAAAAGAAAAGAAGCATTTACACTGACTGAATAATAGTTTGAAAATGTGCTTAAAGAAATAATCAAAACTAATAGAATTAGAAAGTGTCTTGAGGAGAGATGAATTAAAAAAAAAACAAACACAAAACAACAGCATTCCAATACTGAAAAAAAAAAAGAATGTTTCAGCAGCAAAAAATATTAATATGAGCCAGATAATATAGGTAAGATGAGAAGGTGGTAGAATATCAAGGGCAGAAAGATACTTAATGATGTAAGAAAGATACAGAATAGCTACTCTGACAAAGAAACACAGAGGGTACTATGGATAAAAACAGTCAATTATTTTGGAACGCAGCTTCTGCTAGGGAGATAGAATATACTTCCAGATGCTACTTCAGAAGAGCAAGTGCTCCTCAGAACAAACATCATCTAAGATCGTGCTCCAGTATATTTCCAGATGTGGAAGCAGATAGTTTTCCACCAAATTATCACTGAACTGAGGCAGTATTATTTCAGATACCAATTTGTCAATTAATGAAGACATTACAGAAGAGTTGCTCCTAGAAAATAACTCTGGGTGAAGAAAATGTAAGTTAACTGATCTGAAATTAAAACAGAAGGAAAAATAAAGAGCACCTTGTAACTAAATTCCTTGATTGCTAAGGGGCAAGTTGAATAAATGGAAAGAGCTGGTAATTTATGCCAAAGGTATTCTGAGCAATTCAGCTTCATTAAATCACAGGTGTTAGAACTACCAGAAACCTCTAACCTATGCTGTGTTGAAGAAGTAGGAATGCCTAAAAGGATGAACTTGTACTCAAGAAGATCTTCAGATACTGTACGTCCAAGCAGATTTTCAGTCTTTGATTGCAAGTGAGATGTGCCAACATGGATAGGCCTGCATGATTCCAGTCTGCAAGCTGCTTTTATTGATTTATCATTCCTGTTGTCTACAGATACAAGTTGGGACTGAACCCCATAGGAAATGAGAATCTGGCGGTAGCAGTTTTCAGAGAATAATTGTTATATGAGCCAAATGATGCTTCGACTTGCTTTTAAATGAAGAATAGCATTTTAGCTCAGGGATTTTACAGGAAACACCATTTGTTTAAAGCAATTTGAAAATATACATACTGATAGCATATAAAAAACAAGCAGCACAGACTTTTGGACTGACCTCATGAATACCCACTGTAATCTAATCAATGTAACTACTAGGAGAGAAGAGGAAGAATGCTGCTATCACAGTAAAGTACACCTACCATCGTTCACCCAAACAGCAAGAGACCATTTTATGAGTTGCATTAACACAAAGCAGGAGAAGGAGACAATGGATGTCACGCAGAAACACTGGCAAAACTGTTTGCAGTGAGTGTGTTACAGCATATAAGTCTGCAGCCTTGTGTTAGCTATGTACGCTGTCTAAAAATTCTGGTGATGCTTCATTTAAAATGCTGCATGAAATCCTAGTTGATCATCTTGAAGACAGACAAATTCACAGTGGAAGCATCACAGAAAAGGGCTGTCATTAGGATAAGAGAAATGGAGAGCCAATACTGTGGGAAGACTGCCTCATTGATCCAGTGAAACAAAAAAATGCTAGGAGAACATCATACCTTATGTCCACAAATACACAGAAGATGTAAACAAAATCAAAAGAGAAGAGCTATTTAAGCTTTAAAAGCTAATTAAGAGCTATTTATATTAAGCTACTTAAGAGCAGTAAGAAGAGAGGTACAAATATGTTTACTTAGTATTATTCCTAACCACTGTTAATAAGATTCTAAACCAATCTTCTAACAGGAGCCAAGACAAGAAATTCAGACTGCATTCATCTGGAGTGTGACCAGCCTACAAAACCAGTTACGCTTTATTCAGCTGCAGCACAATACACAATTTGATAACATAGACTGCTAAAGAGATACAAGGAAAGCAAGTCATGCTCTTTCAAGCACCAACAAGTCATAAAGTGAATTGTCACATCCTGTAAGTAGACATTAGACAAATGAAGACATTTTTTGTATGGATTGACATCCCAATTCTCTACACACCTCTTTAGTTCCCTTCACATCACTCTCTCAGCCCCTCTCACACTACCACCGTCTCTGTGCTGTTCCCTTTACAGAACACTGGATTTAGTTAACTGGTAGCAGAACAGCTATTCTTCACCTTGTTAAGCTCTTACTTCAGAAAGAGAGCTTAGTCTCATCTCTCCAATGCCTAAGTCAATGATTTTCACAGAGTTCTGCAGCTTTCTATCTGTCTGTTAAACCAGGTTGTAACTGCAAAAGGTGTGCAAACACAGAAGAGGATGAAAGACAAAATGTCAGTGAGTGACACAATCGTATAAGTTGTGATCTTTTGTTGCCTTGCAGATGGGTAAGCTGATGTACAACTGGCTTAGGACCATACAGAACACTGGAAGAGATAAATACAATGTTCAGCTGTGAAAAATTTAATTGCTTTGACTATTACAATAACTTTTCCAAAACCAAAGAAGGAGAAAAAAAAGCTAAGAAACCACATAAACAAAATTCTGTCACATCAAACAATCCTGTAATTCAGTACACTTTAGTAAGGCAGTAGCCTATAGCAAATGGCTAAGAGAAACAGATAAATATACCATTTTATTTAACTTATTGCAGGCTAACAAATCTAACACCTAATAACTTACAGTCACAGAGAGGAAAATTGGCATTTTGAAAGCAACTGATCTACTGTTTACTATTCTTCACAGCTCAAGAAGAGTCTCACATACATACAAAAAAAGATTACTATCAGAAATAGGATGACATCAACTGCAACAGTTCTCTTGCTAGATAGGCAAGATCTGTAGAAAGCATTCAAAATAAGCAAACAAAAACAATACAAATAAGTTACTCTTTACTCCAAGTCCTTACCAATTTTACTTTAGAGGCCAGGCTCTCCGGTAGTTTTGATCGCAGCTGATTTGTTTCTTTGAATGTAGCTGGAAATCCACTAAGGAAGGCCAAGTCTTGCATTAACACTAGACCTGGAACTTCTTTGTCTGTAGTCTAAAAACAAGAATATAGGGTACAAAGGCAGTTCTTTTTTTTTTTTTAACCATCTATAGTAATTTACATCATTCGTTCAACCCTTCAGCAGCTGATAGATTTAATAGCATATAGTTTGTCATTTAACTTAAAATGCAAAATTGAAATAAGGGTAATTTTAAAACATTTTTCACTTCTTACTATATGTGAGCTATGGAGAGAGAATAGCACAGAAACACTTCCTAAAAACACACAAGGTTTAAGATACACAAAAGCAAAAAGAATTAATAACTTTTAAAAGTACATACCAAGTAACCCCTCCATACTATATGCTTGCTGTTGTCTTTCAACATTCCAGAATGGGCAGCTTCAGCTAGGATAAATAAAATGCATTGGCAATCAAAAACTGGAAGTCTTTTTTCTTCTATACTGCAGTAACTACAGTACATTTTTTTAAACTGAAAATTTAGAATGCTTAAGGAGTGAAGATTTGTCTTTATACTTGGCAAACAATTCTTTGTGACAAGACAAACACTAGTGAAGTCTGGGCAAGTGGGTGGTAATGGGCTGGGCACTACATCTTTAAATAAGAAGCCTATGCCTGGTCCAAGACCCTACTTATGTGTGTTGAACATACAGATAATTTAAGGTGTGCAATCATTTAAGGAAGGGCAGAATGTTGTTGCACAACATTCAGCCTATATACTACAACAATTAAAAAAACATTTCTAAATCTAATCCTCAGTCTTGTGAGATTATCAATGCAACACTGATTCTCAGATAACAGGTTTGTTTTTGCAATAGTACTTTAAAGCACAGAACTGTTTAATCTTTCATAATCAGCTGTTTGGTAGGTAAGAGCCACTATCTCTGATGTCATCATTTAGAGGATGAGACTGAGGGGGAAAGACTAAATGACTTGCTAAAGACAAAAAGCAAATTAGTGGCAGAGTCAGCAATGAAAGAAAACCAAATTAAAAACTCTGGAAAACCATCTGGAATCTGACAGACAGACTCTTACCATCCTTAGGGTTATCAAAAACAATCACTGTCACGTTGGTGGAAGGATTTTTTGGTTTTGCTACAAAGAACATATTATTAGCAGCTTGTAAAGTAGGATGAATGGACAGGAGGTCTTTCAGCGTGATGTTGGTCAGCAGTGCAGGATCCAGAACAAGCATTGGCACTTTAACGCAGTGTGTCAACAAACATTCCAGTTGCTTCTCACTACAGAAAAATAACAAAGGTATATTTAACATCAATATAAAATTCACAAAACAAATCAATATCAGGTGCAACAAAAGATGGTTTTGTAAAATCTGAACAATTATTTCCTGAAGTCTGTTGGAGGAAGGAGGGAACAATTAAAGAGTATGCTTATTTTGCAGAAGACATGCATCCCACTGCTACAGTTTATTGCATTTCCATTACTCATTCTCCCACCCCTTGCCCCTCCACCAAATACTTCTTTTCTCACTCATGGTGTTGTTTTGTTGTTTGTTTTTGTTTGTTTGTTTTTTAAGATTTTGAAGATTTTTCAGATTTCAAAGTTTGCTGAGATTCAAAGCAGATAAGACCTTATAAAGATCTCTAAACAGCAGAACAACTAAGCCAAATGAAGAATGAGACAAAGCAGGCCCTGCTGCTTCCTGGCAGCACTCAGACTCAAGAGCCTTGGCCCCTCACAAATAAGTGCTTGCAGTGCTATGTACACAGATGAAAGGCGAAGACACAGTTGAAAAAAAAAATAATCTTAATGTCATTGAATTGTAAAGCTCCAAATATATATACATTAAAAATCCTCATGCAGAATATGAACTATGTCTACCCAATGACAAGCATATCATTTTTGAACTTCAGAAATTGTCCAACTAAGGAGCTCATATTTGTCACTATCACATTACTGTTATTTAGCATGTATATTATCAAGCTGTCGACCTCTTGGAACTGCATAGAAGGAAAGCATAATATAAATAAAAAAATAGAAAATAAAAAATAAATTAAAAAAATAGAAAAAAATAAAAAAATAAGAAAAATAAACATTACCCCCTGCCAGCATTTTTCTTTCAGCTGAAAGTGAGTAGACCATAATTTATTTCAATTTACAGCCAATACAAAAAATAAAATAAAAATAAAAATAACATCTTACCTCTTCTTGGTTGGTTCTGTTGCATTCTTTCCAAGGATTTCCCTATTACAAAATTAAAACAACTACATTAAATAACACTAAGTTGACTATAAAGAATTTAATCTAATTTCAGAGCTCTAATTGAGTCAGGGACATGTTGTGAAAGCACAGATAGCCCAGCCATAAAAGTGCCAAGGACTGGCCTGTGGCCTACTTTAGGAGAGAGCAGGCTGACGTGCTTCCCCACTGTTCACCCATGTGCAGCAGAACTCAAAAAATTCTTGGCTGTGCTGGATCTGCAGCAGAGACACTCTGCCAACAAGATTTTTAGGGCTTATTACTACATTATTTAATTAAACTGCTGTTTATAGGAAAAGCAACAATAATAAACCAGGCTGAAGTGAGCTGAAACAAGACTGAATTCACTGCTTTGGTGAACATGTGTGTCCTGGTAAGTTCTACCATGCACTGGCCACATGCAAAAGAAAAAAATAACATCATAATGTGATCACAAGGGCAGCTCCTACACACACTATCCATCAAGTTACTCTCTCCTTCTGAAGAATAAAGCATCTGGAGAGTGACTAGTTTAACTCAAGTGGATCAACAAAAAAGTTGCAATTTACTAAGTTTAAGTCTGCAGTACTTAATACATACGCATTAGCAGAGATTTGCAGATTCTTTGCCTTTGCCTTCTGCAGTTACCTTGATTTCAAGAAATAACTTCTTCTAACTGTGCTAAACAATTCAGTAATACATCAGGAAAAAAAACCAACCAACATTACATAAAAGGGAAACTGGTTGTCCCTTTAGATGCTGAAGCTGATACTGACTTGAACCTTACTCCTGAGTTTGACGCACTTTCCAAATCAGCATTATGGGGGAACACAATGTGTGTTTTCCTCTTAGTAAAACAGGGAATTACAGCATCTCTCTGCCCATTAGTATCAATGAGCTGAAAATACAAATGTTTGCATAATAAATGCAGAATCGTTTCAGAGCAGAGGCCCTGTCTACCTTTAAGGTGTTTAAACAATGTAGTAGCAACTTCATTTGTGAAAGATACCTAATTGCAAGTCACAACATGCCAAAATTCAGGTCCATCTTAAACTCACTTGTGAATTTCAGATTATTCTCAATTAAAATATTATGTTCAATATTTAAAATATGTCCTTGTTCTTTCATTTAGTATTTTTCTGGTTCAAGCAGAACACATTACCACAGAGTTGTCTATAAAGAACTAAATCAATGGTTACAATGCCCAGACAACGGTAATGCAAAATGCCTTTGTTAAACACAAAGCCACGTATTACTTGAAGCCCTTAGATCAGTACTTTTACAGGCCAGAGTAGCACAATCACTACATCTTCCTCCTTATTGCCTTAGTTAGAAGGCTGAAAAATATGTTTCTAATGTGTATGAATGATATTCCTCAGTTTCTATGTTTGGAGACTACAAATCAAATTTTAAGAAGGAGCCTTTAAAAAAACATATTTTATTAAGCCCAGTGCAAGCAAAAATTTAATGTATAGTTTTATGATTGTTTTATTATTTGCAAGCAGTTACAGAAATCAATACAAAATGACCTGTACACAAAGCACAGTTTTCTGAATAGCATTTTACAAATTCAAGATAAAACAGCTTTAATTACTTCAAATTATTATGCTCTGTATTTTAAGCAGCTTCTTGATTAGGCACTGTTTCCCAGTTAAATGTAGAACTTAAACAAGGATTTGAGAATAATCAAAACAAAGAAAAACTTGCTTTGAGCAACATGGGAAAAAAGAAAGAGGGCTAGTACATCAGATTGCTGTTTTCAGTAGGATTGAAAAAAATACATATGATTATTACCTCATTATTTTCTGTTCTTCCTCCATCTGTTCTCTGACCTGTTGCAGTTCTTTGATCAGTTCAACATCTGTGCCGTTCACCCAGGTGTATACCACATCAATTGGCATGGGTAAACAAAGCCTACATAATTCAGATGAAAGCTACATGAGCTGTTTAATATTACATTACAAGCGTCTGTGGCATCCTACAATAGCAGTTTCTGTCAAACAACAAAATTACTTCGTGTCTGAGCTGCAAACAAGACAAAGCAAAAAATCATCCCTTCAGCTAAATATATATCACCCCTCAATTATAAATGAGCCTTTGGCAAAACAGCCCAGACAAAATCTAAAAAGGATATAGAACAGGCATAACAACTCAGTAACTAAAGAAATCTGAAATTTATGCTCTAGACTTCAGTGACATGTTAACCTATAACCCAACTCCCGACAGCCCATTAAATATTTCTCAAGCCAGTACCAGCGTCATTAAGGCACATCCTTAATGCACCAGCTGCTAAAATTAGACAGGACAGCATGAAATATAAAGTCTTAAATCGTTTGTGGTGTCAGGTAATTTCCCAGAGGGAGTAAGATCTCACAAGTACCAGGTCTTTATCTTAGAACACCTTTTAGATCTTGTACTTGGGATTTCACCAGCTAACAACCTCAGCAGGCTGTACGACTTCAGATACCAGAAACAGCAATCAAATCTATGCCCGACACAATTTAATACTGTGAAATTGTAGCTGACTGCTTACAGTTGTCCCAGCATACTTAATGCAAAAGCAGCAAAGAAAGGTTTCTGAGTACCTTTCTTCTATTTGCTGATGGTTATCTCTACTCTGAGGCCCACACCTTTGTTTCTGCAGGTGCTCCAGGCTGCTGCCAGAGACAAACCCTTCAGCCCCACACAACACGTGGCAGCCACAACTGTAACTTCAGAAGCTTCAGTATCAAGCTACTCGCTAATATCTTCCTAAACTGTAGATGGTCTACGCAGACTTCAGCAAAATGCAACAATCCAATCGCTTGCCAAGCATATTAAGTTGTACTTAATAAGTTTAGATCCTCAGAATTTAATCTCTCTCTCTCGCTCTGATGTCTTTGTTTCCATGAAAGATAAGTGAAGACATAGCTAGGAGAAAAGCAGAATTTGGATAATATTCCAATGCTAAGATCTACAGGACCAAGCAATGAACTACTCAAGGAAAGGTGCTCCTTCCCACTCAATGCACCCTTCAGACAACATGCAAAGAGAGACACGGCGAGCATCTCTTCCATCTTCCCTCTGATTCTCAAGCTCAGTGAAGGAAGCTTTAGGTTAGATAAAAGGCAAAACTCTTTTACAGTGAGGGTGGTGAGGAACAGGTTGCCCAGAGATGTGGTTAATGCCATGTCCCTGGAGACTTTCATGGCAAGGCTGGATCATGCTAAATGAGGCCCTGAGCAACCTGATCTAGCTGGGGTGTCCCTGTTCATTTCAGGGGAGCTGAACTAGATGGCCTTCAGAAGTCCCTTCCAACTCTAAAGCTTCTATGATACCTAAAAGATGCTGGAGGGCCATTCTAAAGACAATCTGAATACCCAGCAAGAGGAGACAGAGCAACCTCTGGTTCATTAACAGGCACATCTCTGCATAGATTTTGTCTAGCAGCAGAAATTCAATGGCAGGAGCTCCATCAGCTGTTCTGCATTTGTTGTGATCAATTAAACTATTGGCTTGACAATGCCTTGACTTGTACAGCTAGGAGGAGCATTTCATATCTGACTTAAGTCAGCTGATTTCAAAATCACAACCCTCAGTCTTCTAGGCAAAGTGCAGAGTTTATTTACGCAGGCTTCACTTAAGAACATAAAATGTGGAGAAGGAAAGACTGAATTCCAACTTGTTCTATGGTGTGATGCAATTTTAGCACTATTTACACACCTGTGAAACCCTTCCCAACTTATCATTTGCTAATAGCATATTTCTGTACAACAGCAAATATAACTATGTAATTCTCTACACTCAATTTGTAGCACTGAATAACAGCTCTGAATTAACCCTTGTGTGGCAAGCTCATTCTTCATTAGCAATGGCTAAAAAGAGATAATTTTTAAAAAGCTACCAAAATAAATGATTCGCTTGCAGATCCATTAGATTATTTGTTTACAAATTGTCTGAATACTTAGGAAAAATTTCTTAATGCATTTTAAAATGGTTAGCATACATCTTTGAGAAAAGTAGTGGCTATCAGACATAATCATAAAAAATATACATAATTAATTTGTTGCTCCTAATTTACAGTGGCCCCAATTAGGACCAGTAACAGTGCAATGAATTCATCTTCTCAAAGCTTTCTGATTTATTTCAATGCCTCTAAAAAACAAACAAACAAAAAAACAACCAAACAGAAAAAAAACCATTGAGACTGAGGATTTTTATCTTTTTCAGATCATCCCTTACACTTTTCCTTTCCCAAAATGTACCTATCTCTACACACAAATCAAAAAGCATAACTAAGATCTGAAGATGAAGCCAGAGCAGTCCTCTCTTGCTGTAGGAACAGGAGACTCACTGTGTGCTGTCTGCAGGTCTGTGCACCTGCCAGGACACATTTTCCATCCCAGTGATGTCTGCATATGTGGGAGAGCCATGCTTGCAGCAGAGATTAGAGCCAGAAGACAAAGCCTCATTGTCTCAGTGTCTGCAGTTGCTAAAGAGTACAGCAGCCTCTGGATCCCTCCCAGGCCACCATATTGTGATCTCAATCCTTGCTGAACCTCTTTTAAGAACAAGTACAGTCCAACTACGCCCTTAAGCTCTCCACTGTAAGAGCTGACTTCTGTGAAAGTTGACTAAGGAATGCTTTACACATCCAAAATGAAATATAACAATACAGCCTAGAAATGGAAGTTAACTATTTCTACACCATGACAGTACAATCTTATAAAAACATTAATTACTTAGCACAAAGGCAACCTTTTAGTACAGACAATCACACTTTCACTTCAACTCTGCAGAAAGATGTATACGCAAAGCTAATGATCTATATGAGTTGTATCACTGTCTTCATCTGCCTTTCTTTGGTAGTTAGGGGAGGGAAGTCAGATGAGGTTATAGAAGTGAGTAGTATTCACAAATACAATGTAACACACATTTAAGGAATTATCCTGCACCTACCCACTCAAGCATGACAAACTGATCTGATCATTTCTGCTGTCCCATGATTCAACAAACCTCAATGCAGATTAAACATCTGCTTTCAGGGCTTTTTCCAGTCAAGTGCATCAGTGCTTCAAGATTCAGATGACAACTTGTTAGTAGCTTCTTCCACCTACCAATTCACAGTCCATTGACTTCCTGAGCAACAGATCCCATGACTACTCAGACACAAACTCAGAAACCACAAGAACCTACTTAGCAGTTAGCAAAACTGATGCAAATGACCCATCTGACTTGGCTTCCAATTTGCTGTGGGTGACTTCAATGTGTTCACCTTTAAAATGCTGCTTCTTGTTAGCATTGTGACTTTTCTACTAAATAATATCCCTTTTTTGAGACGTCATGGAAAGCTCAAAATAAGTTTGTATCTTAATATGGAAAATATATCATATTTCCCCTTCACTGTTAATATTATTGTCATTTCGCTGTTTCCTTACAGACTGGATGAATTAAATGTATTTAAGATTTATATATCTATGATTAGAAATTACAAATTCCAGACTTTCACAATGGGATATTAAGCACTAACTCACAATTTTGGAACCTCTCCGTTAGTAATTCATTACTCATACAATTGCCCATACAAAAAGTCATACTCAACAGTTACTTACTTTATCTAGAATACTTGATATAAATATTTGAGAAATCATTCAACAGTAAAACATGCAATATTCCAACTGCAAATAAAGCTCACCGATTCTGAAACGATTTGCCCGCAACGTTGTCTCTGTATGAATCAAACATAACATGATACTGATCTCTGCTCCACTCCAACACAACCTGTAAAGAAAAAAAAATATAAACAACTATACGCCACCAACTTCTAAAATTAGGCATTTATTTCTGAAATGCTCAAGCATGACCATTTTCATTCAAGCTAATCTCTGTATTAATGCACGTGACCAGAAATGAATCCAACCTAAGTTATTACGTTGAGGTAGGAATCAGGTGCAGAACTTGCAGCACGCTTGATTTAAAACAAGCTTAGTTTTTATTCCTGCAAGGAAGGGCTTCACGTTTTTTGGATGTAGTTTTTAAGTCACTTTTTAAGTTTGTTTTGATCACCTCTGCCTTGCCTTTTACCATTTCAAAACACAGCAATTTCTCAAAACTGAGATCTTAAAGCGAATATGATTCAAAGCAAGCAAGAGCCACTTCCTCACCTTGCACAAATTTCATGGTCTTCCTTTCTATTCTCATACCTCTGAAATCTGACCTTTGAAAGCAAACAGTCAGGCCAGGACACATCAAATTATGCATATTAACCCAGGCGCAAACCAAGTCAGTCGCTTTGCAGGTGACGGCTCACACAGCAGCCCAGCTCATGCAGCAGCTCAGTGTTTCTGCAGGCTGCAAACTTCCCTCCCCCCTTTAACTTGACACTGAATTTCACCCAGCCCTGTGAGCCAGTGAGCTAAGTCTTGGAGATGGACCACTACTTTAAGACTGAAAAATACATGAATTTAAAAAATAAAGATTTTACTCTGAAACAAACTTACTACGATATCTTTTGCAGCAGAAGATTAACTTGAAAAACCACAGTACCATCTCACAATGTTTACAAGAGATAAAAGGGTAGGGGTTTATTTTATCCAATAACATACCTACAGATACGTACTGAGGGGGAGGATGGGACACCACCAGATGATAGTATTACTTTGCAGTACTTGCCTAGATTCAAGTAGCACTACTCCTTATTTCTTGTGGCAACTATGAAACACACCATTTCTCTAAAATAGCACTGAAACCCATAATTTTTGAGGCTGCATCCCTCCATTTTAAGACGACGAGTCTCTATACCCTTACGCCTGCTCAAGTAAATTAAAGAGTTCTAAAGCATACACAGGACAGAGAAGCCTCATCATGTGTCAGTGACAATCAAAATTATTTCCAAAGCTGCACACGGTCTCACTGCAATCACAATCACATCTGTACAGTCTCGTTCCTCCTAGACAAAGGACATGTGATTTGGAAGTTGAGCAAAAATACCTACTTCCTTAAATACCGAAAACATTATTACACTTCTTCACACTCAAGTCATTATGTCCTTTTGCGAAATAATTAGTTTAAAACCATACACACTGAAAGCTGTCTAGACATAAACATTTGTAATTATGGTTAATTATGAATTGATGCACAATGACCTGCTCCTGGAAGAAGTACAGAAGTATTTGAGTAAAATAATGTTTTGCTGTACTGCTCTCCACTAGAGTGACATTAACCATTCCAACATTTACTTTGTCTGTTTGTGCAACTATACTAAAGAACCATAGCAGCTCTCTTTAGATAGACGTCTATTAAGATGTTACCTATTTCCCATCTGATACATTCTTTTTTTCTACTGTTTGTTTTGCACTGTGTTAGCACCTTAAGGCCTCCTTGCTTCAACTTTACGTACAGATATATAAAGCCACTAAGGAATAACATCACAAAAAAAAAAAAAAAAAGAGAAAAATGAAGATACCCCCAATTAGGAGATACTGTATCAGCTGTGTGAAAACAATGGCTCCCTTATTCTAACTGAAAAACATTTGACAAGGCTGAGTGATCAATGGAAGGTCAGCTACAAGTTGTTTGTAGGCGAACTGTCGTGAAACTCCAAAGTTTAACTTATGACCAGGCTACAGCATTGGCTGAGGCCTGGCTATCCTGTACACTGTAGCTCCCAAATCATGCTTAAATGCACTGTTATTTCCCTGGGCTAATCTTTTTCTTGAAATGATGCTCTTTTTCATCTTTGAGGCTGTTAGGATATTATTCCAATCTCAGTGTTTTTTCTGTCATCATCTACTTTTGAAGTGCAGCGGAAAAAAAAGGAACTACATACTCTGCTCAGATAACAGGGTCTGAAACATATTACTGCATGCCCTTGAAAGGTCCCACAGAACGTTAAAAACAGTTCATTTGATAATTACTAGAAAGATGTCTTGGTTTCATGCATAAAATTCTTACATATATTGTAGTAGCTACTGCCTAGCAGACCATAGTAAAGAACAGAAATGCTTTCTATTCTATGTATGGTTACCAGAAGAGGTCTAATAGTGTTTTACTCTCAGAAGCTCAGTCTACCAAATCCTTTAACTACCACTATTTGCCAAAACAGGAACACTTTAAAACATAAATAGCAAAATGCATGCAAACATCTCTTACTGACTTTTGTATTAAAAATGACAACAAAAGATATTGTGGTTTTGATGTTGTTTTTTTTTTTTTTTTTTTTTTTTGTATTTGTGCTGATGTTCAGTTTGTTATTTTTGGAGGACAGGAGTAGGAATGCATTTGCAGAGTCCCATTAGAAGAATTCTGGTCAGCTGGCTTTTTTTTCCTTAACTTACAGTTTTGAAAATGTATGTACATGTATTTGCCAGTGATTTGTTTGTTGCCTAAATAGTACCTAAGATTTCTAAATAGTTTTGATAGTAACATAGCTGGAAGTAGAAAGCTAAGATTTGGGAGGAAAACATCTAATTAGTGGGTTTGATACTCAGCAAAGTCAGCCATAACTTGGACAAGGACTGAAGCAGTTCTCAGAAATGCTAGCTTGTCTGGAGTCCTCATTCTAAAGAAAATCAAAGGCTTATTCAAAGTTTAACAGCACCAAGAGATGTATCTCAATCAGCTTCAAGACCAATTTGACAATTACAAACAAATGGATGGCTGAAAGTATCACATCATTAACTCACACCTGGTTACAAAGCCTTTCAGGAATTTCTGAAGGCTGCAAGACGGCAGGCAGGGAGCACGGCCAGACAAGACTGCAAGTTCTGACCGAAACTGAACTTCTGACTGTGTGCCACTGCAGACTTTCAGATAATACTGGCTCTTCTCTTTTCTGAAGTGTGAAAGAGTGGATCAAAACAAAACAGGTGATAACAAGGAGAACCCAACAAACACACAACAACGAGAGAGTGTTCCTTCAGAAATCTTGGAATCAGGAAATACCAGTCTGCTTGCATGTGACACTGACCAAGTAAGTTGCATCCCATCGCTTACAAAATTATACTGAATAGCAAGCGGTGTAACACAGTCCAGTGCAGGCTATATTTAACTCCTTAATCTCTGGAAGGGAGAAGGACCCCGTTGCTCCTGGTTGCCACGTGAAGGCTGTGGAAGAATCCCACCAGCCCGTCCAAAACCAGAATAACAGCACTGACAAACCCCAGAAGGGCAGTGCAAACAGTGGCACAGGTCACGACAGCACACACCTGGGGCGCACAGCCTATTCCCAGCTCCTCTGTGCCGGAGCAAGCCGGGACTGCTAAAAACTATCTATCAACCTCCTCCGAATCACTCAAAACTCGTATCTGCAAGCGGCCGGGGAGCGGCACGACTCCGCGAGGGCGGATTTCGCACCCAGCAGCGCCAACAAGTGCGAGAAGCTTAAACCGGGCTTGGGGACGGATTGCCCCCACGAGCTGCAGCCGCTTTTCCCTTCCACCGCTGCTAATCCAAACGAGCTCGGAGCACCGGGCATAGTACGCTTCCCATGGAGCCCCCGCTCCCCCGGAGGCGGCGCCCAGCGCGAAGGAGCTGCAGCGCGCCGCCAGCCCAGCCGCACGGAGGAAGGGAACGCGGGAAGGGGCTGCCACGCCGTACTGACCTCCCCGAACTGCAGGGCGGAGACGATCATGAGGACGAGGCCACCGAGGCAGAGGCAGGGCCCATAGCGGTGAGACAGGCAGGTGTAGGTCTGGCGCTGCAGTAGCTTTAGCAGCATGGCCCGCCGGCCGCCACCGCCGCCGCAGCCACCCGGCCAGGCGCGGCCCTGCGCGGTGCGGCCCGGCGCGGCCCGCCTCAGCGCGCTGCCATGCGCCGGGCCGGGCGGGCGGGTCCCGCCGCCGCCGATGGTCCCGCACGGCTTCCGGCAGCGCTACGGCGCCACCTGGCGGCGGGATCGGGAGGGCGGAGTAGGGATCACCGCTGACAAACGTCTCATCAGCACTTCTGGTCACCAGAGCCAAGGAAGGAGAAGCAGTCGGCATTCAAGAGACTCTTTTTTTTTGCCCTGCCCAGAGCAACAGAGCCTGACCGTTTCCAGAAGTTTGTCCTGGTGTGTTTACGTGGCTGTGCTGTGGGAGGACTGCATGCAGCTATAATTCTTCAGGATTATGTCATAGCATCATGGAATCATTGAGGTTGGAAAAGGCCACTAAGATCATCTATCCCAACCGTTAACCTGTCAGCCCCATGCCCACGTCCCTCAGTGCCACATCCTCACGGTTCTGGAACACCACAAGGGATGGTGACTGCACCACCTCACTGGGCAGCCTGTGCCACTGCAGCACCGCTCTTTCTGACAATAAATTTTTCAACATATCCAACCTGTAACTCCTCTGACTCAACTCAATGTCATTACCTCTGTCTTATCACTGTTAGCTGGCAGGAAAGGTCAACCCCTATCTCACCACATCCTCCTTTCAGGTCACTGTAGAGAGCTATGAGGTCTCCCCTGAGCCTCCCCTTCTTCAGACTGAACAACCCCAGTTCCTTCAGCAGCTTCTCATAAGACTTGTGCTCCAGACCCCTTAGAGCTCCATTGCCCTTCTCCAAACAGTCCAAAGTCTCAAGGTTTTATTGGAAAGGTAAAAAAATTATTCTCATTTACATTCAGAGCTTCACAGGTCACCACAAAGTGCTTTGCACCACATCCTTACTGCATGTTATAAAGCTAATTAAATATATTGTACCCTCCATGGTAACTCATTCTTTCAGTGTCAGCATGAAGAATCTTCCAATCAAGATTTCATCACTATGTTGCACTGCCAACATTTTCTCCTCATAAGTGTGGTCTTTCCTCAATGTGCTGAAGTACTGCTCTGGAGGAAAGTAATCTTTAGTGACTTGCTGGTACCTCCCTCACCTCTACCACCAGTTCAAGCACAGAGCTATTATTAGTGGTAGGGAACACCTCACTGACACTGACTGCAGCATTACAGCAGCAGTGTGAGTGATGGTCTGGGTTTCTGGGTGAGCAAACTGAGGTTTTGCTTGAGAATTCAGCCATGCATGCTAGTTATGAAAACAAGAACATTCATTCTGGTCAATAATAAGAACATAAATACAGAAATTGACTAAAATGTGCTTAAGATATCAAGCCAGGATATAAATTGTACAGGTCATGCACAAATGATGGTGGAATTGTGTCTGCTTTTGTAAAATACTCGTGTTCAAGTAATATGAATCTGAACTGAAACAAATGCGAAAGGAAAGGAAAGGAAAGGAAAGGAAAGGAAAGGAAAGGAAAGGAAAGGAAAGGAAAGGAAAGGAAAGGAAAGGAAAGGAAAGGAAAGGAAAGGAAAGGAAAGGAAAGGAAAGGAAAGGAAAGGAAAGGAAAGGAAAGGAAAGGAAAGGAAAGGAAAGGAAAGGAAAGGAAAGGAAAGGAAAGGAAAGGAAAGGAAAGGAAAGGAAAGGAAAGGAAAGGAAAGGAAAGGAAAGGAAAGGAAAGGAAAGGAAAGGAAAGGAAAGGAATCAGATTCTGCCTTCTGATGAGGCACTAAAAGGGTTCAGTATGTTCACATTATATTAATGAAGATCAGAATGTAACTTAAGCTGAATTCTGTGATGCCTCCACATGAAATAGAAAGAAAAAGATAAAAAGAAAAAAAAAAATAGGGGAGCAAAAATGAATAGTAATAATAAAAAGAAACTAGGAAATCCATCTTCATTAAAAAATCAGATATCAGGTCAGGGACCGTACAACAGTTAGTCTGGCTTTATTAGCATGTTTCTAAAGGGGAAGGGATTGGGTCAAATTCTTTTTCACATTTTATCTAATTTATTGCTTACGTAGTTGTCCAGGTGACTATCTTGTTATTTTTGTCCATCGATGGCTTACACAACTTTCTTATTTTTCTCCAGTTGCTCTATCAGATTAACCTATATATTCTGCTTGGAGCAATGAATTCCACTAGGTGTCAGGATAACTGAAAATTACAGGCTGCAACTATAATTAAGCAAATACTTAAAGGCCTTGCCAAATCACTACCTATGTAAACCCATGGACTCTTAGAATAATTTAGATAACTGTACTTGTATTCTTACTAATTTGAAGATGCACATAGCACATAGCTGCACTTTAAGCAAAGCCACACCTGTCACTGAATATGAAATAACCTAAGTCAAATCATTATAAAACATATTTCATATTGTTTCTACTTCTCTGCAAGTTGCCTTCACTGTCTTCTATGTCTTAGATCTCAGTAAGCTCTCTGAAGTCTATAGTTAGGCCTTCTTTTCAAGAGAGGAGTAAAACCTATTTAAAAAAAAAAAAAAAAAAAGTACTTACTGGTTCTTTTAAATGAGACTGGAGATCCTGTAAGCCTTGAGCTGTTGCTACTCTTCCTCATTGCTACCCTGGGAAAATAGCAATCTACTGCTCACCCTTTTGTTCTCTTAGAAAAGCTAAAGTATTGTGAAGTTATTTTTTCCCAGATCTTTACAGTTTGCTTTACTGGAAAGGGAGAAGAGTAAGAGCTTAATGTGTGAGGCAATAATGTAATTATCTGTTGTTGAGACAGAGGACCAAGAACAATCAACTTAAACACTTAAGCATCTCTGTTTGCCAAGAATAATATTCACCGCACACTCCTCAAATCTTGCTCTAAAGAAAGAATTAACATCCTCAAAGGCTTTCAGTGTTCATCACTGTATGATCTGTTCCACAACAAGAATATATATTGTAGCATCTTTGTGAAGTAAATATTATCAAGCACAAAGGCAGAGATTAAATTCTGCAAGCTTCATGCCTTCTACTTTAGGACTAATTTTCCACAGTGCAGGAGCTAAGCAGCAGTACTCTGAAGACTCGGCATTGAGCTCTTAGACACTTCATTTACATTTGTGAATGCTCAGAACTTCTGAGTGGTGTGCCAAATCAGACAACAAAAATAAAGTGCAGAATGGTGATGATTTACCCATACGAAGTTTGTATGAAGTGATCTGGCCATCGTCATGTAAGTTTTGCGTAATTGGCTAATTCATATTTGCTTATTGTAATTAGGCACCCATCACTTCTATTCCTGCTCCACTCACAGCAGGTCTCACAGCAGAAAAAAGATCTGCACAGTTGTGAACAGGTTCATCCAACACAATTGAAGAATGGAGGTGAGAAAAAGTAGCCAGATATTTCACCTTTAACTCTGTTGTAATGCACATGCCCAGGAATCATGTAACTTCTGAGTTTCTGCATTCTTAACCATGTTTCAATGTAGGTACTTTGTACAAATATTTTATTTCCTACATAAAACTACGTTGTTAACACACAGAATAGCAGTGGGCTACATGAGACTTTAAACAGCCCTCATTCCATCTGCAGCCTTCCTCTACAGCTCCTCACTAAAGCAGGTCAAGATTTCTCTGCTACAGTTGCATGTTCATTTACTATGTTAACGTACTTAAGGACCTGTTCCTCTAGGAAGTTGTCTTTCCCTACGCTCCTGGAAATCAACAGAGGGTGCTGTAGAGGGGTAAGGCTTTAACAGCAGTCAAATCTTACAGGTGAATTTGTCATTATTTTGAAGAGCTGCATTATTACTTTCTCTGGAAAGGAGATGAGAGGCAATAGCAGGGTGTTCTAGGTCTTCTCTCTGTTCTTCCCCCAAAATACATGTTAATATACTAAATTTAATCATTTATGCTTCTGAAGCCCTCTTTAAAGCAGGAACCTTAGGCATATAGGGATAAGTAGTTCAGTGCAGCACAAGGAATGTACTAGTATTACTATCTAATACAGTGATAAAATCAACATGAATCATTCAGGACATTACAGAGTGAAGTAACACACACCAATCTGTATTCTCTCGTTCAGAAGGATCCCATTTTGACTCACTGTTTACAGAGATCTTTGTCTTTGATAAGACTCATTCCCACAGAGATCATCACCCAGAGGTCAGCATCGAGGTCTAAAATCATCTTCCAGAAACTGATGTTGTACCTTGTAGTGGATTATCTCTGAATTAGTCTGTAGCTCCATGAGTGCATGCACTTTGTTTAACTGCACCTAGTGAGTTTTCAGTCAGTACTGCAAAAAATTTGAAAATCATGCTGAGGAGAGGCTGTATTGCTCACTACAGCTACCTGCAAGGACACCGCAGCAAGGAGAGTGTTGATCTCTTCTCTCAGCTGACCAGTAATACTGATGCTATTGCACTTTTACTGAATAGGAGCAATTCTCCTATTTTTATTTCGTATTCTTTCTGATCTCGTTTGAGTTGCTAGGAAAGGAAAGAGTCTTGCGTTGTGCCAGAGAAGTTTTAGACTGTGCATCAGGAAGAATTTCTTCATAGAGAAGAGTAGTTAGACATTGGTGTAGGCTGCACTGGGAAAAAAAGAAATGGAATCTTCATGCTTGGAAGTTTTTAAGAAACATCTACTTATGATATTGGGGGACATGGTGTAGGGATGGGACTCAGAAGGTCAGGTTGATGATTGGAATTAATGATCTTTAAGGTCTTTTCCAACCTAGATAATTCTGAGATTCTACAATCTTTTCTCCATTTTCCCTAAGAATTGAATGAACTTTTCCTCAAGTCCACATTTTCTCACTCAAATAATACAAAATGTTGCTCTGCTCCTTGAAGTTACTGCAGTGTCCGTGCCCAAGGTACAAAGCTGAGCATTCACTGATGTCTCATTATATTGATGCCATCGTACTTTTACAGAAGAGGAGCAATCCTCCTATCTTTATTTCATATTCTTTCTAGTTTTATCAGAGTTGCACAAATCTTTGTTATTGAAGAGCCACAGAGGATGTTGGCAGAGGCCA